GCGTCTCGCAATGTCCGAAAATTTATTATGTCGTAAGCAATGTCATCAGGTAGACGTGTTGTGTAAATAATTGCCTCCGACCGCGTTGAGCTATCATTGTGAGAATATGGTTTGCGAAACTCTCATAGAAAAGAGTGCGTTTGTACTCGTTGAAATCTTTTCCTTGTAGAAGGAGACTTGCCGGAAATAAACCAAGATTATATATCTAATATTATAAATGCGAATGTTTAAATGGATGGATAAATGGATGTTTGTTTGAAGTTATCTCCAGAAAGGCTGAACGAATTTCGTTGAAATTTGGCATAGATGTAGAACATAGTCTGGAAGATCACATAGACTTAGTAAGTTAAAACGGAGTTGCGGGCGACAGCTAGTTAATCTTAGATTTATATTTTTAAAACGAAAGAAATTCGAAATGAAAGCTATAAAAAGTTACAATTTTTATCAATCCAATGAACTATCTTTAGATCGCATAAGCAATGATACGAGATCGAATATTGACATTGACTAAATGAAAACGATATTAAATGTCAAAGATCATCAGATTGCATCAAGTTTAATGTGAATTTCTTTATATTATGTTATATGCAAACTATTTGCAAGACTATTGCAGAAGATTAGAAAGGTTTGTACAAAGCGATAAAATGTTTTCCTAACTTGTTTGGTGCTAAGTCAACAGCGCTAAAATGCACGCAGAGTTACCACGAAAATATTATATGAGGACAGTCCTGATATTTCTAATACTTGAGATACTTTCTCAAATTAAATAAAAGTAAACCTTTCATGATAGTAGAGATGAGATTGTTTAAATGCAATTTAAAAAAAATCCTATATTAATTAAAGTCTTACTAAATGTCGTGTGTTTTTTTTCTCTACTCAATGTTATAAAGACCTGGAGTAAGTTGCGAGTTGATAAATAATCCGTCCTGTCATAATTGAGCAATAAAAAAAACCCTATCCGATTTTTTTTTGTAAATATGTCCACCCTAATCGTATTGCGTAGCGTAGTGCATTGACTCTGTTCGCCTCACCCACTGACTTAGTGACACGTTATCTATCCCTGTCGCACTCGTGTGAAGCTGTATTATCTCTTTCATGTGTGCTTTTTACAAGCAACTTTTCCAGAAGCTAACCGGATTCGAAAGGGCCTAAACCTATTGGGCTATTTTTCTTTCATTTACTTGATAAATGTTAGTATCATACATTAATTACAAAATTACATATTTAAAAAAGATGAAAATAATTGTTTTTAGCCGACTTCAAAAAGAAGGAGGTTATTAATTCGTCTGTATTTTTTTACAATGTGATTTAGTAAGCTTGAAAAAGGTAAAAACGTTGTACTTTTGAGTGTGCCTGTTTTCATTATTTTTTAATCATGTTATTAATTTTATAATCTTTCTGCGCTTTAACTCTTATAGATTCCTGTTTAATATAAGTTACTTGTCGGAACGAAATTGATGGTAAAAGTTTAATAAAAACTTACGGATCGCTGTATTAAAGTCAATGGAAACAAGAAACAGTAAGAAATTCACTTTCACAAAACAATAGGCTGTAAAAAGTGAAAATTCGAAGTTCAAAACATTGAAACGGTAATAAAAATGCAATGAAGACGAACCTTAAAATTAAGTATGGTATTAAGTACAGTTGCGTGGAAAAAGTTACACGGAAAAATTAGTAACATTCAAAGATTTCTAAAATGCGTATTGTATGCGATTGTACTAAAGTACTGAATCATTTTTAATTTAAAACTAGCTATCGCCTGTCACTCCGTCCACATGGAATGAAAAAAAAACTTAATTATTTCCCGGCAATTATTGAAGCAATTTTCTCACCTTTTAAACCTTCCCTAGACCTCCAAGATTTCATGATTTCAAGACCAAGATAAGATAAATCTGTCAGCCGTTCTCGAGATTTAGCGCGCGAACGGACAGCAATTGATTTTTAAATATAGATAAATTGATTGAATTATTATTTGTTTAATTATAAAGAATTCGCTAGTCACCATTACTATATTAAATGTAGGACAATTTATATATCAAAGTATTGTAGACTTTAAATACGAGTAGTTAAGAATTATTTTTGAGTGGATGGGATTTAAGATGAATTAAGTGTATTAGCGGAACGTGTGAAATAATTATTTGACTGTCGTACTTTAAATTAAGACCCCTTGAATGTGTTACGATGTAATTTTAATATTTTCAACCCTAATAACACTGCGTTTAAGTTCATATTTGTGTAAAAACATTACAAAAATGCTTTGATTGTGTAATTTTTGTTTAAATAAACTGCGTTCAATAGGAAGTCATCAGTTACAGGAAATAAAATTATCACAAACAAGTAAAATAACTAGAAATATTACATTATTTTTAACTGCACAAACCGGATTAAACGAGCATTAAAAAAAATAAACATCGAACAGTAAAAAGTAAAACAAGTGTTGGGTTTCATACATTTTTGATAGACAAAACAAATTTTGGCTTAAACAGGGGTGGGGGTAGGAAACAATCAATGCAAAGTAATAATACAGAGAATCTATTTTTCCTAACGTACATTTTAAAAAGATTTTCTACAACACTTTTATGCAATTTACATACAAATGAAATTACTACATACATAGTTTTGTCGCACATGAAATTATGTCGGCTAAACATGACACTAATTTATGTAGTAGATGGTCGCTAAACTAATATTTAATGTCGGCACACTGACATAGAACGTGCTACGAACGTTAATTTAACTTAAAACTAATTAAACATAACTTGGAATCACATAAATTAAAACAACGGCCTATTCATGATACTTATTACATGTGATTTTTCACATGACTTTTTTTACCACTTTCTATTAAGTTATATACTAATTTACTTTGAGTTTTGAAAAGTATAAAATAAGTTTTTTTATACAACTTAAGTATCGCTTGCATTGTAATACTTTATTTGACACTAGGTGTCGCCCGCGAAACTGTCTTCGCGGAATTGAAAAACCTAATAAGTAGCCTATCTGATCTCCTAGACTGTTCCTCCACTATGCCAAATTTCAGCTAGATCCATGCAGCCGTTCCGGAGGTATCTTCAAACAAACATCCATCCATCTATCCATCCAAATATTCGCATTTATAATATTAGTAAGAATTAAGATTAATTTTGCCAGACTCCTTAAGAATGGTGATGTTTTTAGCACTATGTTTATACATAGGATAACAAGGTAACCAATAAAAAATAGAGTCATCAAACCTTTTTGCAGCAGGATATCCTTATACGTGAGTGGGTCAAGTCGCGAGCGCGTCCGGGGCGCGAGCCACTGGCACGCTGGCCGCATACTGAACGTTGAACTGATTGCAATTTAAAAAGAAAATACGCATTCAAACATGTCGTACGATGACCACTTTCTTTGCAAACTAGTGTATACAGGGAGAATTTTCTACACAGATATTAGGCAAACATAATAAATTTATGTGTAAATAAATGGTACGTGGAAGTGATTTAAAAACTAGTAATCTTACTAATATTGTGCGAATGTTTAAATGGATGGATGTTTGTTAAAGGGTATATCCAGAATGGCTGCATGTACCTCGCTGAAATTTGGCATAGATAGTAGAACAAAGTGTAGAAGAACATATATTAAGTTTTTCTAATTCAGCGCAGACGGAGACGTATACAAGAGCTTGTTTAGCTCGTGTGGAGTGGTTGGAACATTCATTAAAATAGGATTTAAATAAAAGCGATTTTAAATTTTAGGTCAAAATAATCGTTAGATGAATTTTTGGTGCAGATCTGTATTTTATTCGATAAAATCATCGTAAGAGTACCACAAGATATGTTGTAATAGTTACAATAACCCAGATGTCTGGAAAGTAACTGCTACAAGGTCGTCTTGGATTTTACAAAACTTATTTTAGCGTGAAATAATATCCTTAAATATTGTAAATCAACTTTTTAATATCACTATTTAACACTTATTTAATCGCCTTTCAACTGTTTGGAGTACGCGGATGTGTGCGTGTTTTTTCTATATTTCCAATGTACGAAGTACATGTATAAAATTGTCTTCCCTTTTATTGTTATTAAAATTAAGATGTTTATGTTTTAGTAAAAGTGTCTTGGTAATTTCGATTACGTTTTCAATTTCGATTTTCTATTGAATAAGAATCAAGAATCATCATTTTAACCTTTTTGTTGATAGCTTATTATATTTGTCCAACACTGGCTGTCGTCCGTAATGCCGTCGAATTAAAAAAAAACTTAGTAGCCTATGTGTTCTTCCAGGCTATATTCTACATCTATGCCAAATTTCAGCGTCATCCATGTAGCCGTTCTAGAGGTACTTTGTAACAAACATCCATTTGCATTTATTAGTAGGATTGTATAAAAATAAACATAGTAAATATTTAAAAAAGTGAATAAATACTAGTGTGATAATAAAATGACGTAGTGTACAACTGAACGGTGACATAAACTGTCATTTACCGGTCATACTGAGATAGTAATTTTGTACTCAGGATTAACCAACAACTTTGCGAAAGTGTTCGTCCATTGTGGGATAAGAAGCATGAGAAAAAAATTCTTGCGTAAATACAACGGTAACAATGAAAGTTATCTAAGGTACAATCAAATAACAACGTTATTATTACTTCATATAGGTATTTTTCAATATTTTTAAATTAGAGAACGTTAAAGAATGACAATTTTTAATACTTATATTACTCTCTTAAGAGCCAAAGTTGGCAAAAAGTATTATTTAGTTATGTGGAATTAGGAATAATGGAAATATAGGTTTACTGTACTGTAAAATTTACACAAGAAGAAGAATTTATAACGATAAAGATCCTTATATAATATTGTTGTAAAAGTGTATAATTAAAAAATTGCTATTAAAATATTAAAGGGCACTTCATAAAGTTGATTTACTTTTGAGATTTACATCTGTAATTTTATTTAACGGATAAACTATTTGTCGATTTGAGCACAGAAATATGCTAACAAACCTATTGTTTGTTTCAGAAATAAACGAAAATGAATACACGGAAGGATTGAGATTAAAAAGAGAGGGAGTTCCGGAAAACAGGGGTGAGTAACATTTTGACAACTAAATATTTCTGTATAAAATTTCTATGCTTGTTAAAAAAACTGATTCTTATAGTTTTGATTATTTTTAATGTCTTGCATTGCCTGTGTGTGCATCTTAATTTCCTTTATTTTCTTCTTCTATAATATAATTTTATTGATAAGTATTTTTACTAAGATAGAAGCATTTTGACAGTATTTTTGGATAAGTATTCAATAATGGCACTACCTAGACAGATTCTTTAATAATTAATAAATTATAATATTATATTAAAATGCAAAATAAGGACGATCAATTATTATTAATTATATTTTGATATTATTTTGTTCGATCAAAAATATTCTTTTTAGGGTTCCGTACCAAATAGGAAAAAAACGGAACCCTTCTAGGATCACTTTGTTGTCCGTCCGTCCGTCTGTCAAGACCGTTTTTTTCAAAAACGCGTCAAGGTATCAAGCTGAAATTTATTTTTTCTTAATTATAGTCGAATTTTTTGATGTCGAATGTTTCTATCTTTTTGATTGAAATGTTCGTTTTAAAAGATGATTTAAATATTGTTTTTATATACTTTTAAAGTATTATAATACTAATCATCAGCACAAACGTACATTTCTAAATATTTTGTAAATTAGTGCTAACAGTGTTTAAATTGCATTATATATTCTATTAGTCTCTAAATACTATATTCTATTTTATAGCATTATTAATTATATGTTTTTTCTTTCTCTTTCAAATCTAATCCCCGGTCGTGGTCAACGTATGAACTCAAATGGACCTTGTAAAATAAATCGCACCCTAAACCCTTCCACGACTCGACTTTACGTTGACAATTGACGACAAAGACCTGACAGTTCTGCTCGTGAATGACCAGAAGCGAGACTACAACACGAAGATTGGCAGATACCATAGCGTCAAACCTCTCATTGGTTTATTGACATCTACCGCCAGAACTTTCATCCAAGACGGTGTTACAACTGAGTTTGCAACGCAAATCTTAGGAACAACATTAGATAACGGTCGGATATACGCACAACTTTTAACTAAATCATCACTCGTTTTATATAATAAGCCATCAAATGTTGACGATCCCTTTATTGTGCAACCAACACGTGTGCACTCCGCTTTCGATGGCCAATGGAACGTTAAACAAGACTTAGGTATTATAGATCCTGATAAGTTTATCTTAAAGAATACTGATTATTTAGCCCCCAATAGTAAAATGGACATTATCTATGCTAGTAAACTTGCCAAAGAACCTTCTGTATTTTGGAATTCACCAAGTGCTCCTGAACCTCAATTAGATAATCAAATATTAGAGGAACCAACGGGACGTAGAGTTCAAGCTTATAATGAAATTCCTAGATATGAAGTGTATAATTATCTTGACGGACCAGCCATCGAAAGCGAGAAAAAGTTTGAATTTATTGTAGAACCGTCCGTACCTGACAGTGTGAATAGTTTCCACCGTCAAAGTAAAGCTTATGAACCAGTTGCTGACTCAGAAAACGTTAGTCCTAAGCAACCGGATGAAACTATAACTGAATCTAATGTTGTCAAAGTTAAGCCAGATTACGATTTACCAACATTTACAATTAAAAACGAGTTTTCACCAATATTTTATTATATTGATAATGTCGAATCTCGTAATCCTTCACAACAACCAACTTTACAAACGAAAACACCTAAAAAGTTGTTCGGACAAAAGAGTGAACCTAGACCTAAAACTACATTTACTTATGAAGGTTTCGCTGATTTTACAACTGTAGTCGGTGATACTGTTATAATATTTACACCTAATACTGAAACTAGTAGGCCCCCTAATCCCGATGAAGTTAACGTTTTTCCCTCCGCAAAACCGGTAGATAAGCTAGCAACTAAAATAACATTTCTTTCTGCTGACATACCTGTGGCCACAGCTACGTATAAAGCACATGAGATGATCGATGCTACAACAATGACAACCACTCAATCAAGTAGTGAAGAAAACATAACGGAGCAACCAGTTTACAATGACGAAGAAAGTTTGAAAAAAGTTTTATATGAGGTGGACGATAAAACGTCACCTACCGTGAGTGTCCAGTACAACAATGGGTTTGATTTTAATATGGACGTCATTCAACCTTCTGAAACTTCTTATACTACAACTGAAAGCACAAGACCTATGGATGATTTGGAAAATGTACCTATGCAAGAATATGATACAAAAGCTACCGAGCCACTTAGTACAATCCAACCGTCTACTACAATAACAGAAGAATCTAAAGAATCTGTTGTAACTGAAAGTGATATAAAAGAAGCATTTACTAATTCTGAAGAAGAAACAGAAAATACTGCAGCTGAAGTTACTGAGAAAATGGATGAAGCAGAAGAAGTAGAGGAAGAAGATGAAGAAGACAATACTACTGAAGTTCCAGAAATGTATACTACAACGGAAAGTGGGCACAGCGATGAGTCATTTGAAGATATTGAAACTACAACAGAAACTAAACATGATAGCCATGAAGATGTTTATTGTACTGACGGATTTGAAGAGCAATCAACAATGACAACAGCATATAAAACCTTAACTTATTTAACCACTTATTTCATACCATTAGAAAACACGGAAACCACAACTTCTGTAGAATCAAATATTGTAGTTACGAGTGATATTGGCTATCTCACGAATCTTGTATGTAAAACAAATTCTAACATTGAACCAACGTCTGTTGTATCCGTGGAAGTGAAAAATACTGAACAAACTAATTTAGAAGCACCCGAAGTAGTTTCTAAATCGAATACAGTGTCTTCGAAACAAGAAGATACAGTTACTGAAAGTCCAAAAACAACGCCTATGGAAAAGGAGACTTTAACTACCGTACAAGAAGAAGAATCTGAAACCGATGTTGACGAAGAAAAAGATGATTTAACCGACAGTGTAGCCAATGATCAGTCATACACAACTACAACGGAAAAAGTTTCCACTAGTCATATTGAGGTTTCAGTTAGTACTGAAAATACTCCTACCGAGAAACCTGCTGTAGAGGAATATGACGATGCAAAAATATCTGAAAATGAAATTGATCTTATTTATAAGACGTTGTATACGACATATACATATTTAACAACTTTCTTTGGTGATCAAACAACAAGTGTAGCAAGCCATAAATCTGTGGTTACAAATATTATTACATCTACGGTTGACCTTTCTAATTTAGACCCCTCTCTACTTGGTGCTTTCGGCGAGGATGATATTACACCTACAAACGTTGCAGTTGGACAGCCAACACAATCTTTTGCCATCAATAGCATTATTGATTTAGTTAAAAATAAAGACGTGATTGAATCAGTAGAAAATGATGGTACATACAGTTCTCAAACACCGACACCATCCTTAGGTGATGATATTATTGCTAGTATTAAGCCAGATGCTGTAAAAACTTATTTTACAACTTACACATTTTTCACAACGATTTACGTAGGTTCTGATGCAAATGTTTGTAGTAGAAGTGAAATACATACTAATTATGCTGGTCCAGATGACTTGATACCAACCAAAAGTAGTCCTTTAGTAATTGAAAATACGAGAGCTCAATTTGATTTCAGAAATTGTAAACAAATTAAATCTGACCAAATTTCTCAAGAACCATCAGATAGCACAAATCTTGATGAAAATAACTCTCAAAGTTTAGAAGATTCCAAAAAAGGAATACAACCAACACCTATCGAAGTTGACATGTTGCTGAGTATTGAGTCAAATCCATTGGAATCTGAAAACTCTTATGTTACCGACTTTAAGTCATCCTCATCCAAGGGTGAGAGAAAGATAATAGACAATAACAACATTATCTTAGACGACCAAATAAGCTCAGAAAGTAACATTGAAGAAATTCTTCCTTCACCTACTCTATTGTTACAAACAAGTTATACGACATTTACATATTTCACAACTATGTATATAGGAAAGGATTCAAGTAGAGTGAAAAGTCGTTTAGAAACTATAACTGATGTAGTAACAGAAACAATCACCCCCAACCTGGAACCAGAAGAAGATAGCAATTTACCGATTACGTATTATACGACATTTACTTATTGGACGACATTATCCAAAGACAAATCCACAACAATCACTAGTCGAGAGGAAATAGTTTCGAATGTGGTAACACCGACACCACAGGCGACTTCCACAATTAGTCCGATAGACACAACACCAATAGATGTTGATAGTGTTTTACCGCCAAAAGAATTAGAAATAGGATTGAAACCATCAGCATTAGACGAAAATTTAGAAGCAGATGACGGTAAAGCTACATTTTACACTACGTATACATATTTTACGACCTTCTACGCTGGAAATATATCACAAATCAGAAGCAGTTTGAAAACTGTAACAAACATCGTGGAAAATTCCCAGGCAGTTGAAGATAATCAATTAGGACGCAAAGTAGGTAGTGTGCCAGTAGATAAAAATCTCATTCAAGACAGTGGTGATAAACCTCAAACCGGAAATTCATTACTTAAAGAAGAAATTAAACCAACTAAAATACCAGATATTTCATCAGTTTCGTCTACAGTACTTTTGGGTACTTACATTGATAATTTATATGCTGAAGTTAAACCTCCAGAAAATAGTAAAGTTCCTGAAGAAAAGAAAATATTGTTCTCGCAAGTTGCAGTTATATCCGGTGATTCAACTATTGTGACAAGTGACAACAAAACTCTACAAGATATTCCAAATACATCTACAACCACAACAACTACAACATCAACGACTACTACCACTACAGAGGAATCAATAACTAGTCCTTCCCCTGATGTTATTGAAGGTTCAGTGGAAGAGACTACTACTGAATCTAAGCCAGAACAAGAGGAAGAAAATGATTCCAGTTCGAAAAAGAAGGGTCGTCTTACATTTACAACTAAGAAACCATCATTTACCCCAGTAATTATACCATTTGCATCAAGAAATAGACCAACGTTTAGCCCCAAACGTGTACCTTTATTAAGTAGTGCTACCACTATTACCCGTGCTGATTCTACACCAACTATAACAGCAACTCCGACATTGAAATCAGTTCGACCATCAGGATTTGGTGGTATTAATAGAAAACAATCTGCATCACCTGTATCTCCTGGGCGAAGATTTTCTGGTCGTAGTAGCGGTGTAAGCTTATCTGTCAATATTCCATCTGCATCCAGAGCTGGAGGTTTTGGAAGAGCAAGTATTCAACCTTCTTCAAGAAGAACAGGATTTAGATCTAGCTCATTAAGAAGTAACAGTTTAGACTTTGCCAGTAGATCCGCAGTACCGCGAATAAGGCCAACTGCTTCTTCTAGACTAAGAAATAGTAGACAATCCTCAACCTTATTCCTCGCCACTAATGAACAAAATGAATCTGAAACCACCCAAATTGAAGAAAATGTTACGGAATCCTTAGATGAAGTAACAGAAACATTACTAAGAACAACAAGTAACCCATTACTGAAATTTAGAAGACCACCTATTGCTAGACAACCAGGTACAGCAATATTGCCCCGATCAACTACACCGACGGTAAAAAGGAGTGGAAATCTACGCGGTAGAACAACAACTACAACAACAAAGCGCACCACGAGACGTTCAACGGCGAATCCGTTATTATCTTTACGTAGACAACGACCAAACTCTCTTTTCCCGAGAAGAAATCTATTCAGGCAACCAGAACCAGAGCCTGAAGAAGAGATCAAAGAAAATGAACAGAAAGTAGAAGAGGAAGAAGAATTATTAGAGGAGGAAGAATTTGAAGAAGACAATGATTATGAATCGTCTGATAGGAAAGAACAACAAGTTGCCACCCCACCTACATTGGCTGCCAAACAAAATAATATAGTACAAATTAGACCTTTTGCCATCAGAAGGCGAACAAAGCGTCAAGTTGATTATGGAAATAGAAAGTATAATAATTTTAGAAGACCAGGGCTTAAATCTGCTTCAACGCGTAAACCGGAACCGGAACCCGAAACAGAAGCTCCTGCGCCCGCTACTCCAAAACAAAAAACAAGTCGTTACAATGGACGAACATCCAAAACTACTACAGCCGCTGCACCCAAGTCATCACCTAGACAATCTTTTATAGTTCGTGGTGAAAGTCGAACTTCAAGTACAACGTCTGCCCCGGCGTATAGAAGAGGTAAAGCTAGACCATCATCAAGAACCACCACCCATTCCTCTAGACCAAAGGCACCAAGATTGTCTAGTAAGAGTTCTGATAGATCCAGGCCAGGTTCATCGCGCAGTTCTACTAGTAGATCTCGTACTCGTACTACTACAAACAGAGCATCAAGTAGACAGCGCAGTTCATTTGAAAATCTAAGCGCGGAGAGACATAGACAGGACTCTTACAATAATCTGTTAAATGATGGAAAAATTACCATAACTCATCAAATTCCTGTTGAAGTCACAGTACCGGTCGTTAATGGAAAAATAACCGAATACAAAAACCTTTTATCGGCTAAGCCCAGTGTCGAAACTTTGTTGTTGAACCAAATTTCTACATCTATTGGTCCGCTTGGTAATCAACAGCTAGTCCTTGCAATTGAATCCACTGAATTAGCCGACAATGGCGCTACTAAAGTAACAAAATACGTTTTACACGAGACGCCAACAACTACAGTTATTTTTACCCCCACCACCATAAGAGGCCGGAAAACTTCCTACTCACATATTTTACCCAGTACTGTATATAATGTAGAGCCTGTCGTTCAAACAATAAGTCCTGAAATCAACGCAAATGTACCTTTAGCCAATTTATTACTATCACAACTTTTATTGGGTAATCAACAACCTGCTATAAATCCACTTTTGGCATTACAAGGTCAAGCTTTCTTACCTCAACAACAAGTTGTACAAACACCTGTCACTGAGTACAAAACTAGAACAACTACTTTCGTTACAACTGTAACAGATGCTAGGGAAACCGTTTTACCTATTACATTTAAAGGTAAAGCTATTCTCACAACGATTGTTGATCCAACAACTAATGTGATTACAGCAACAGAATTTGTCACCGACACTGTTGTAACTACGCCTACTGTACTTGCACCTCCTCCTCAATTAAATTCTTTGTTATTACCTTTGTTATTACAACAGCAACAACAGCAGCAACAACAACAACAACAACAACTTTTATCCTTACCCACAGCTAATCCTTTATTAGGTTTAGCACAACAAGACCTTAATCTGTTGCCTAATAACAATTTGAATTTAAATAACGATATTTATAGTAACAGTCCTAAACCCAATATTCTCTCTGATCTGAACAGTAACGAAGACTTTTCTGAAGACATTGAGGAAAGCGGTGAAGATACTCTTCCTCCCCCACCACCGCCTTCCTCATCTTCTCACGTACGTCATAGAGTAAGGACGCCAAAACCCAGTCCACCGAAAATGACTAGTGTTGTAACTTTATACGTTTCTGGTAAATTCCCTGGAGAATTCAGTACCGTACTTTCTACTATTGTATCAGATGATACACAAACAGTAAGAAAACGTGAAGCTATTTATTACGATGATGTTCAAATAACGTCTACTCTTTTACCATCTATTGATCAACTCTTAGGCTCACAATCTGATATATTGGATAACGGAATCGCTTATGATGAAAATAATTCGTCAGCAGAAAGTAAAGGTGAAACTCAAAGCCTTGAAAGTATAGTCGGAAAGATCCACGACCATATAAAATATGACGCGTCACCAACTTATATTGTGAAATTGGGAAACCCATCTTCCATTAGAGGTAGAGAACAAACATTAGTTGACGATGTCTCTTGAACTCCGAACAACTGGTTAGGTGTGTATCATAAAAGATTAGTTATTTATTTTTAATGTATCATAGTTAGCTATGAATAGTGCCTTATAGTTTTAGTTCTTTGTACAATTTAAAGAATACTCTTATAATTAGGTACGGTATGTACATATACTTTAATATATAAATTTGTCATTTTACTCACCAAAAAGGTTTTCTTATATCGTTACCAGGTTTTGACTAATATAACAGTTTTGTAGGTGACAGTACTGTTTTAGCACTGCCTAAGAATGATTAAACTTAGATTATTACTTTATATGTAATTCTTATAATACTCGTACTTATCTTGCTTTCAATTGTAAATTGCAAATTACGACTTAAAGTATTGAATAATAAAATTTAAAATAAGATTTTTATGGTTTGTTTTATTTTTTTTATAACCTCAATATACACTTATTGTATATACCTATGAACTACATTCTGTGTTACGTGGATTTTAAAACTGTAATCAAACGAAGGCATATTATAAACTGCCCTTAAATTATCAATATAGCAAATCATCTAATTTACAATTCTCATACAGCTTTTAACAATCCTAGACCTTTTATAAATATAATAAAAACACACCTCTGTTGAAATATACAAGACTATAACCAAAGACATGATCTGACATGACGTAACTGTTGACTGATGACGTATTGAACATGATGACGTCACAAAGGACTAGACATCTCAAGATTCCCGACGACCTCTTACCGGAGGACTCCAAAATCCACATCCTGAGATCATCCAAGTCCAAAGGTGAGTTTTATTTGTATGTTTAATTTAGTTCAATGGATGTTATTGAAAAGTTTGGATGTATAGATGTTTGTTACTATTTAACTCTACAACTGCCGAATAAAGCATAGACTATATCATTTTTATGTTCGGTTTTTTTTTAAAGAATATTATGCAATTAAACTGTTGGGGTAATCTTTCTTTTACTTTATTAAATGTCTTAATTCTTTTTGTTTTAAATATTTTTAATAGCATCCAAGTAGTTTGAAATTGCTACTGATTAGTAAAAACCAAAGGGCTTGAAAATTTCACATGCATGTTTTGTATTATATTTAGAGTAAAAAAATAACTTCACGTTAGTATATAGTTTTACAGTCACAAAAACCTTTAGTAAATAATGATTATAATTGTACATAGCCAAGTATTTTTTTTTCAGAGCACAAATTTTTAATCATATGCATGTATTTGTAGTGTATATAAGTAGTTTCTGCTGTACATAACATGAAATTATGCCTTTTTAAGTATATTTAAAATAAATGCCATTATAATCAAGAACCACTTAATAAATAATTTTTAACTTTTGTAACATTTTTTTAGATTTATATTAAAATAATTTTTTCGATATAAATTTCAGCATTTGATACCAACGGTATTGTATTTGATAATTCACCATGGAGACCAGGACGTGAGATGCCGATGGAACATCGGGAAATTGTAGAAGACGAAAGGAAAATAAAGAATGTAGCAACAAGAATAATGTCGAATGGAGTTGAAGTGTTAGTCAAAGACAAAAGTACAGATAATAAACAAGATTCGGTAATTATAATTCATATTTATTTCAGCCACAAACAGATTCACTTGATGGTTACTTTAGCAATGGCTTAATGCAGACTACTATTTATTGTACAGTCTCGGAAATCAGCTGTGTACCACTTACAGAAAAATTGCATTGTTTCTTACGAGGAGGCAAAGTCTGTCTCTTTTTATTTATAACCAATTAAGTAGCAGTGTATTGCGTGCTTAGTTAATTACAATTAGTGTGTGCAGTACTTAAAAAAAGTCACGTCCCATTGATAAAAATCGGTTTAAAGTAGAACACTGCCAGTTTCTCCGACTGTACATTAAAATACTTCTTTATGACTAGTAAAGGTCTCTGTGTGTTGTTTATTTTGTGCTAACTCATTATTAATATAAAATTCATCAATTCTTTATTCTCAGAGAAAATTTAAGTTTATTCATATAACATCTATGAAACCACCGAAATTTCATACGATCACATCATTATCACCAAACAAATCATTGTTAACATCAGCTGTGTCTACTGTAACGAATCTTCAAACGCCATCTATGTATCCAATACAACAACTAATGCAGCACAATTACATTATCAAGACGTGTATGACAACTTACACATATTTAACAACGGTAGTACAAAATAAAAGAAGTGCTATATCAACATTTGAAACCATAGTATCAGTTATCACCACAGAATCATTGACAAATATGTACGCTTCAGACTTATTAGGAGAGTTGAAACCGACAAAAGTAAGAAATTATACAGTTTGGGAAACCCTAGTAAAGGTACCCCAGAATGCTGAACCCCAATTGAATACCCTGGTGTGATTACGTCAAATGTAAAACCATTTGAAATATCCGTACACTAAATTAATATTCTTACCTTTGTAATATTACTTAATATCTCTACTAATACATACACATTTTAACTAATTGTCCTGGTTTAGACAATTTTACATTTTGTAGGAACATCATAACATAGTAATTTAATTTAACGCATGTTTTAGAACCCCATTTATATAACTTATTATTTAAGCTATAGTACTCACATAGGTTTAAAAATATCTTTCAGTAAAATAATGAGCCCAAAGATCCTTAATTTTCGTTTTTACAACAACGGCAATATTTTGTCTATTATTTGCATAGACCATTTTCAAATTGTTATTTGTGTGACAGAATAGCCAAATTCCTATTTCTAGTTATTACTTTGTAATAATATATTATATATTTTTCAGCTTAAATTCATGGAGATAAAAACTATACAGCCATCAGCACCAAATACTATGTACGTTAGTGCCTACACTAAAATTGATAAAAGATTTGACAATCAACAAGGCAATATTCATAATTTTGATTTAATACAACCTTCTGAAGTTGGTCAACCACCTTGTTCTACATCATGCTCTTGTAGTGATACAAAAACAGAAAGCTTAAAAACAAAGTACACAAGTTCAACTCCAGAGACATACAATACAAAACCAAGTAATCATGACTTTGTTAAAGCAGAAGTACTACCAACACAAAAGGAATCAGACAAAAATAGTCAGTATAATATTTATGGCTCTGAACATAATGTTCATTCAGCACCGACAGATAAAATAGTAGAAAAGTATACAGAAGTTATCAATGATTACTCTGATGAAAAAGATTCTAATTCTATTAAAGAAAGTGATTTACTTACTAACGAACAAGCTCCAACACCATCTAAAACAGATAAAATAACCAACAAAGAGCCAGAAAAGAACAAACCAGATAAATCTCCAAAACCTAATAAAAACAATTTTATTGTAGCTGATCTTTTAAAATTAGGCTCATTAAGTATAAAAGGATTATCACAATTAGCACCTGTTATAGAAAAGATGACAGATACATTTATGAAGAGACAGGATGTTAATAAAACTGCAACAACGACGACAACTACAACAACCATTAAGCCAGCAAAGAAAATAACACCTTATATAGCTAACAAAAGAGTCGACAATGACATGGAATTTAAACATAGTAACTTTCCAATTTATATACCTGTTGATGAAATGGAAACCTCGGAATCACAAATCGCATTTACTAATGCAACATTGCATCAAAACTTTGCTTGGGCAGCAGAATTTAAGCAACCAAAAGCTAATAAAGCGCCACCAAAAATAATACACGAAAGTCCTTTAGTAAATGGAGGCATACCAATTAGTCCCGGAGAAATAATTACTGCAAATTCTGATGTCATTGTCGGGAAACCGGCTGTTGGTGGACCATTTACTTTAGGATCAAGCGGAATGAAATTACAGAACCCAGTGAACCCTCCACCTATCGATAATTATATGTCAAACAATGAACCTTATTTGGTTGCAGCAAAATTACCTTTAGGCGAAGGTTCATTGATGCCATCGAAGGCTGATGATTCATTCGATTTGAGACCTCCTGAACTACCTAAAGTAAAACCTAAGCCGAACAGAGAACAAAATAGGGTACCTAACTCAAATATTAAAAATATGTATTCAAATAATAAAAATACTCAGTCATCTTTATTCAATCAACAAAAGATATCAGATCAAAAGAAAGATTCAGCAATTGGAAGTCATGGTGTGTCCGCATTTTTGGACTACATTCCGTCTTATTCAAAACCTACAAGTAAATCGCCTCTTGAGCATCATGTTGATTTTAGACCTTTTAATAATGATAATAAAAAAGAAATGCTTGATAACAATCCCAGCTCCTCAGAAATAATAAGTACAAGTGTTACAACCGATGGAAAATACGCTGTTTCTATAAGTCCAGATTCAGTAAATAAACCATTTTTGGTAGATATTCAGCCTTCAAGAGTAGCAAATGTTATTATTCCCCACGGGAGTTCAACCGCTCTGGTTTTTGCTGGTTCATCAGAACCTCATAAAACTGGTGAATATATCGACGATCCTTTGCCGTATCCGGAACCAGGGTATTTTGGTAGTTTTAGTATAGATGCACCTCAAATGACTAATGTTCATAACGTTGTTCCAAATAATAACCAGTTTTTGATAAAACCTGGCAATCCATCTTCAGTATCTTTGAAGCAATATCCGTCTGCGCAACAAGACCATCAGTACAGAAACGATGGAAAAGTTAAATGGAAAGACAATAAGCGACCTATGGGTTTAAATAACTTACCGCCTCCCGTTAGCAATCAAGAAACACATCTTCATGTAGGTCCTCAGGTTGTTTATAATCCTGATGCGTATAAGGGAAATAATCAAAAAGTAAACCTGAATAGGGAAAATGACAAATCTAAAAGTGGAAAAGAAATAATTGACAAAGAGTACGAAAACTATTTGGCTGTTCCACCGCCGCCGCCACCTAAAATGCATGCTAACCATGATAATCGTTTTGAAAATAACAAGCCATACAATCAACGACCCATGATTCATACGCAACCTATTCAAGATATGAAAGTATTTCTAAATGTTCAACATCCAGTACCGAAAATAACAAATAATGATCGCATGCCTCCTAAAGTAACTTCGGAAGTTTATTTTGCAGCTCAAGCTTCAAATACTAAGCCGACCTCTTCATATACTATTCAGTTGCCACCGACCAATCAACCTACCTATGGAAGACCTCAAGGAAAATTGCCAAACAATTATGCGCAACCAAGTATAAATAACCATACCTTCATCACGCAAATGTCAGGTTTACCTCTGGGTACAGTATCTTCACCAAATTTGGATAATAAATCACAATTGCATGACGATAGAAAAGACATAGTTAAATTTAACGCAGTTCCTAATGTAAGAGATAAAACGATACAAAGCTTAAGCTTCACCACATCTGCTCCAATAACTACCCCTACTTCATTACCTCAATTAAATACCGATATACCAATCGGCAGCAATATAGTTATAAGAGTTGAAGATGATCCATCGAGATTTGAAGGTTTGCCTATACATAGTAATAAACAACAGAAAATAAATTATAATAACCACGGTCGTGTACCCTCAGAAGTTTTGTTACAGAATAACCAATGGAATAAATCACAAGTCAATAAGGAATTGATATATGGTCGCCCAATTAACAATGATGACATAATTGAAGGACATTTTAAGAAAGATGTCTTCCCATCTATACCACCATCTTTGAACAGTCACGCGAATTTCCCTATGATTAATGATCATGTAATTACCAAACAAGACTTCAGTTCGAAAAATAAGAACAACGTGGATAATGTAAAGGTGTTTGATAATAATCAGAGACCAGTAATCTCAAAGCCAAATACTCCAACAAATTCTCACGGTTGGTACTCCGGCTCGTATTTCAATGAGAACAATTTGAAGAATATAAATAATATACACATTGAGGTAACTACCAGGAAAGTGATACCAATTTCAAACGATTATAATAGAGAGAACATACCAGAATTTGGACATAAGATTGCTAGCATAGGAAAACCACCAGTGTGGCAGGATAGTCAAGATTTTACAAGTTACTTAAGTATAGGTAAACCATTTTCGAAATCGCCAGAATACATAAATTCAACTACAAGTACCCCAACCACTAAAGTACCACCGACTCACAGACCTAATTTGCCTTCAAATATTGGACCACATCAACCAGCATACGATATACCAATAAGGGATAATAGTCACGAAACTACAACCATTAAAACAAATAAAATTAAGCCAGTTTATGAAAATTCTGAGGAAATATATGACGGAGAAGATGAATTTGAAAGCAATGAAAGTGAAGCAGACGGAGAAGTTAGTTTAGAATCTATGAAAGTGCCCGTCATAACATCTTCTAGCGAAGCAGATAATATTTCTCACAACTTTGGACCCTTACACCATAAAGGTCATGGTTTCGTACCACAAAAAAGTGTAGACACAAATACAAAAGAAGACTTTAATTCAGGCACCCAAACAGAGAAGCCGTTTGGTTCCTTTAATAACAGCCAAGGATTTAAATCTAATGAAATAAAACAGATTGATTATGACAAAAAACTGTCTATGAAACCAAGACCATTTACAATGAATACTGTTATACCACTAGACCATCAACTACAGCAGCCACACTGGCAAATAAATCAATTAATAGAAAATTCCTCAAACGCATCAAATGAAGAAAACCTAGATTTGAATATAGGAGAACAAATTGGTACATCACAAAAGCCGACATTGGAAACAGATATTAATAATTCTAATAAGAACCATGAGACAGTAAAAGACTCAAGAATAACAACAGAGTTAAATAGAACAAAGTTTGTTAACGAGACCCCGAATATCATAACGTCGACAGTACATATCAAAGATAAAAAACCTTTAATTGTAGCTGTAACAGAAAAATCAAGCTTGCCTACCTTTACAATTAAAAGTGAATATAACAAATCTCAGACAGATGATATTATTAATTTGTCACCTCCCCCTCCCGCTTTTGATTTTAATTTCAAACTGTCAACAAAGGATGAGGTTATTATGGGTATGAGTCCACCGCCACCAAGAACGCCATCTCTGGCACGACCTACACTGCGGCCACCTCTTACTTCTCGGCCAATTTTGCCATCAAGAACACCTCCTCCTTATAGAACTTTACCACCCAGGACATTACCACCAAGAACATCACAGCCTAATAAGAGACCTATAAATAAGGATGAAATATCTACTTACAGGCCGACATATGATATTGTTAATAAGCTTATTCGTCCAAATATTAATCGCGATCAACCATCATCACAATTATTACCTCCTCCAATAGATTTACCATCCAAGACTGTTCAGATTTCAGAAATTGAATTGCAGCCACCGCCTGTAAGTGCATCTTCTTTGAATCCTAGTGTTGTTTTCTCAACACCTGTATCTTCAAGTTGGTTAACTTCAAGCGGTATAGATTTCTCTTCAAAATTCAATTTTGCTCCGACGTCAATACATTTCCCTCGTCCTACTAAACCTTCTAAAGTTGTTGAAATACCTGACGTGATTTCGTCAGAAAACCTAGACCATTCAGTTTCCTACGAAAGCGAAGTCTCTAATGAAAATGTGGATACCTCTTATTCTAATGACAATGCTAACCAACATTCACATTCCCAAGAATCGGGTACTGATATGACTTATGAGTCTTCTGCTTCTTCCGAAGAATTTGAGAACCACGAAAATCACACATCTCCTTTCGGAATAAATAAGAAGCCTAAAGACAAAGTAAAAATTGTTTCTCCAGTAAACAGAAACAGAACACGTAAACCTTACCCTGTTCGTAATGACGACAAAAAGATAAACACCAGCAAGACTAAATTGCCATCTAGACCGTCAATTAACATAACGCCAAGCAGAATTTTGAATAGACCTGAAATATTATATCCGCCTAGAGGGACGCCAAACCGTAATGCCGTAAGACCAATATCTTCAAGACCCGTGGTAACTCTAGCGACACCAATATTGGAAAGCTCTGAGTCCTCACTTGCTGATGATTTTATAAGACCAACAGAAGTTTTAGAACAGACGCAATTACCGTCATTGCTACAACCCGGAATAAACTCGTTAATAGAAAATACAAACACGCCTACTGCATCTTTACCTAGCCAAACTAATATCATAAGTAGTCAACCAATTCACCACGGAGGCAATGAAATAAAAATATCAGACGACATAATTCCAACTAAAACTGAATTTAAAACTACAGTCGTTACTTTGACGAAGACTTTATCAGAGCCGCCAAAGACAGTCTCAAGCATTGGTTATGTCAATTTAACTCACACTTTAACTGTGACTCATACAAAAACAAGTCTCGTAAGCCAATCAGAAGGAGCTGTAACCCAAACTTTAGTTGTTACAAACACACAAACATCCACTATTGTTGATGTCGTAACTAAAATACATACGGAAGTACAACCTACAACAATAGTCGAAACGGTAACAAAACACATACCTATTTTACAAGTCCAACCAACTACTGTTAAAGAAGTTAAGGAAGTGACAAAAACTAAATTAGCACTTGACGATATATCAATGTCGTCTGAAGAAAGTGATAACTTCATAATAAAAGATGCAGAAACCACAGAAAACATTCAAAAGATCGATCATGACGGAGAAAATGATAGTGATACATTCTTTGTTGTTATGAATAAGTCACAAAATGGTGGTAAATCTCCTCCAATAAATACAGAAATCGAGACTGGCGATTACGATATTACGAGAAACGAACAAGTAAACAGTAATGGTGTATCACAAGTTCTCTTTGGTGAAATATTATTAGCTGGAACACCTTATCTGGAAACATCAAATGTTCATCCAGCTGGTAAGATAACAATTTAACATACCATACCCAAATAAAATTAGTAAATCAGTATTAAAACTCTATTTTTAATTTTAGGTTTCGGTAAAGAATGTCAGCCAGATTGTAAAGCATCTAGAAACGAGAGATGTCAAAGAATCGATGGAATGATGAAATGTGTCTGTCGACCTGGCTTCGCTAGAATGTTCCCTGACAGACCTTGTAAACGTAAGTAATTTTACAAATACCTTCTTATTATCTATAAATCTAAGTATTAATTTACTGTAGTTACATTTCTCTTGCAGCTACGTATACATATTCTGTGAAACTAGCTTTGAAGTCTCAAGGTCATGATCGTCTTGTGTTCCATGAGAGTTTGTCAGATATTTCAAGCAAACAATACCATAAGTTGGCGATTGCAACTCATGAAGGCATCAATAGAATGATAATGCAGTCTGACCTAAGAGATGTATATCATGGTGTTCACATATCCGGATTCTATCCAGTTGATATTACGCCGGTTAAGGGAGATAAATATCAAGGAGTTGTTAATGATTTCTATGTTCAGGTATTTTTTAATTTAATTTTGATAGCCTTATGTTGATATATTGAATCAAAATTATACTTGTTAAGGAATAAAATATACCTTTTACTAATATTGTAAATGCGAATGTTTAGACGAATGGATGGATGTATGTTTGAAGGTATCTCCAGCTGAAATTCGGCACAGACTATGTATGTTCTAAATGTAGGCTCCTTATTAAGTTTGTTTTTAATTCCGTGAACGGAGTTGTGGGCGGCAACTACTGTAAATATAATTTTGTTTAACACTTTAGCTCTCAGACAATGCCCACGAGAGCAGATTGAAAGAAGTCATTGAAAAATACTTAAGGAACAACAACTACAGTCTTGGAGGAACAGATGTGTTTGCGGCTGGTGAATTGATGGATAAATTGGATGTTAGCGGTAAGATTTACAAGCATAGAAACTAATCAATTAAATACTACTCAAGTGTATTAAGACCTTCTTTGTTTATGTCAAAGAAATTCCATTTTGTATGAAATTTTGGCTTCGATTTATTTTAGAGTTATAAAGTTTGGATTGCATTATATTATGTATTACTTTGATCCTTTTTAATATTAATCAATGTTTTAGATTTCGACGAGTGTGTGAGCGCGCAGTTCCATGATTGTTCAGAGCACGCGCGCTGCTTCAACTTACGCGGGACCTACACGTGCAGCTGTCTAGAAGGTTATGGAGATCTGAGTGTCAACCCGCTATACCCCGGCAGGATATGTTCGGGTAAATACTATGGGACACAAGTTAATTGCCATCCAAACCAATAACTCTTGCCGAAGGGTCAGTTGGACAGATGAAATACCACGACAGAGACAGACTTAAAGTACACTCTACGTTTCGTCTGATTTATTATTATCCTAACTGTCGCTTGCGACACCGTCCGCCTGTAACGAAAAAAAAAATCTTAATTAATAGTCTATGTCTTCTAGACTATGTTCTACATCTATGCCAAGTTTCAGCGAACATCCATCCAACTATCCAAATATTCGCATTTATAATATTAGTAAGATGTGGCCTAATCTTATGAGTAAAGTGCATCAAACTTCACTTGATAAAAAAAAAAAACTGATATAAACTTCTCAAATGTCTTTACATACAGAATATTGTATGAACATTTTAAAGTTTTTTACGATGATGGAAAAGATTGGCAGTGATTGTGGTTTAATTGGTATACAGAATCTATGAATATAATGTATCATTGCCTGCATGTATTGTGTACATTTCCAGCGGAGCCTGTGGGATGTGAGCGCTGCAACTATCACGGCGCGTGCTACTCACGTGACGACCAGCGCGTGCTCTGTGAGTGCTTCCAGTGGCACGCTGGAGCCTCATGCCAGATCAACCTTAAAGGTATGCTCATTTTAAGATTAATATCTCACATATTTGTCACCCCTTACTTCCAAAGGGGCTTCTGAGCCCCTTGCTGGGTACTGGTGATTGCGAGTGGACAGAAGGAAGAAGTCTCAAACCCTCAACCCTGGTATTTGATGCATCGATATGGTGATGCACTATAACTAATCCTGGCTAACTTCTAATTATCAACGCATTTTTTAAGCTATTGCTTTAAATTCATTGGATTTCAATCGATTCACCAGTCCTTGGAAGAATTGGCTAATACTATCGTGTTAATATTCCAGTGGTACTGATATCCCTGGTGGTGTGTGGGGCGCTGCTGACGGCAGTGCTGGGTCTGTGCGCTGTGCTGGCTTGCCGGCGCTCCCCCGCGCGCCCCGCACACGCCCCGCAGCGCTCCATTGTCGCCTGCATACAGGGCATGCCCAGTTTGCATCAGGTAACTTCGAACTAGCCTATAATTTGTTGCAATGAATTTGAAACATCTCCATTACTTAGTCTGTTAGTCCTTTGTGCATGTGAAAGAGATTTTTTGCACAATTTGATAAAATTAATTAATTTTGATATAATAAATTAACATCTTTGTTATGTGTAATAAATAAAAATCAATTGCTATTCGTTAGTCTCGCTAAAACTCGAGAACGGCTAAAGGTATTTGTGTCATCTTGTCTTGAAATGTTTGAGGAGGTCTAGGAAAGGTTTAAAAGGTGAGAAAAATTCGAATAATTACCGGGAAAACTTTAGGAAACTTTTTTTTTAAACACGCGCGGACGGATTCCCGGGCGACAGTTAGTTATGTAATAAAAGAAATAGTTTGTTAAAATTTTGGATTATGTTTCAGGGTACAGTTCCATCAAAGAAGCGAGCGGACAAGCGGGCGCTGATACCGGAGCGGACGGAGTCGGGTGACGCCTCTAGTATACAGAACGCGTCTCTGCCATATCTGCCGTCTAAGGTAGAATTTTTACTCATCTTTGTACTATTTTACTTCAAGTCAGAGACTGTCGGATGCTAACTTACTTCATTTAAAAAGAAGCTTGAAGTTAATTATAGAAAAGGCCCTTTGCAGTTTATTACTAATCATAACATTTATTGCTTATTATGGCAGGGCCTCTTTTATTCTCGGAATCAACTCTAAAGGGCCTTCTTTAGTTACCATTGTATCTATGTATTCTAAGCGTGACTGTAACTTTTGTCTTCATTTTTATGATTCGTCTATCATTGTACATTACAGCGAGCGTCATCTAGCAAGAAGTTCGTGGCGATGTCAGATCCCCCCGCGCACGCCCCGCCCCCACCCCCGCCCGCACCCGCTGTCGTCATCCCCCGCGCGCGTCTGCACCCGCACCACTCTGACAGGTAACCTACTTTATAAAAAAATAACATAAATTATATCAATTAATGGAAAATACAACTAAAACTTAATGTGTCCCTACTAACTAAACATACATAAGGTATTTTTACACACTCTTGTAATTTGTTTTCAGCCGCGATAATCTCGCGAGGAAGAGGAGCTTGGAGTTAAGCAGTGAAGCCAAGCTCATCAGCTATTTAGAGTCAGGAGCTACCAACACTAATGATGAAGTAAGTTGTAGCGTCCAGCGTTTGAGTTGGCACGTCGAGTAAAATAATTCTCTTGGTATGAACGTGCCAAATACAATGTTTAATTTAAAAATATATTTTCAGATGAGAAGAAAACACAGTTTGGAATCATCTTATAGTGCACAGAAGGATAGACATAATAAACAAGGTAATTAAGATTCTTATATTATTATTGGAAAATTAAATATTTAGAAACAGCGCCATCTAGTTAATGTTAACAAAAACTTTACTCGACTAAACAGGGGCCCTAATATCAGCCGGATTCAAAGTGTCAACAACAATCCGTCCGGACGAGACAATGGATCGTGACAAGAAGGATGACAGAGATGACATCTCCTCAGTCAACAAGACTGACATTGATGGAGAACTTTCTAGATTCAGCACGTTGAGGAAGTCGTATAGGTAATTTAGTTCGGGTAATATAGTTAACAAGGCGAAGTGTCTTTAAGGTTTACCGGCATGTATGGATGGATACAGTTGAACTTTGATAGGTAAAAGTCCAAGGGATCGTATAATATTTCCCACAAAACAAAATGACTCTTGCTTATCTAGATTATATCAAAGATTGGATGTGTCATTACATAAAAAAATTGTTTTCATTTGAATTTTACTCTTTAAATTATTTTTATTGCATTTATCTAATTTTATGTAGCTTTTCAATCTTCTGTACTTTATATTAAGTTTAGATTTAGTGCTTAAGTAACACTTAAGTATAGTACTTACTTATTTTTTAATATCTAGTCAAGAAGATTTATCAGAATGGACAGACGCTGAGAGGAGAATTGGTGAATTGTAAGTATTGAAAAAAAAGTGATTTTTATTTATATTAAAACCATTGGTTTCTTAGACTAAAATCTCTGTATAAAACATATCGTCATCCCTGTCATTTCTTTGACAAAACAAAAAAAAAACAATATATTTTAAGCGGATATATTGGTCTCGGAAGCCTGCGATGAGAATAAAAAAATATACGATTGTTTATCTAGTTTTATAATAGCGCCATCTATCGTTATACCAACATAATAGAGTTATGGTTATGGTTTTGAGACTCTGTGGGATAACTTGAGTTGTAATAATTCTAGGACGCTGTCGGAGGCGAGGTCAGTGGGCGGCACTCTGCCAGCGAGCACTGGCAGAGCTGCATCCTCCACACGACTCACACATCAGGTTTGTGGTACAACATTAAACGTTCTGACCACTTATCTATAAATGAACAGGCTAGGAAGTGACAGCTTTTACTTTATTCCGACTTAAACGTATATTGAAGTACCTGACAAATCAAATAGGCACAAAATACCACGAGTTATAGCCGGTCCATGTATAGAGATCCGTGGTATGCATGAGTTAGCATGGGAGACAAACTAGTAAGTTTTTATGTTGAGTTTGGACAGCTAGATGAATGCATGACGATAAAAAAATTCCTTTAATTTTAATAACTTTTTGGCACCAAACCAAGTTAAATTGTCCTTTTTAATTTAATGGCTGTCTTGTTTTGTACTTATTTGTGATTTAAATGACACATATATTAGAGCACTTTAATCAAGTTTCCATGTTCTGTTCCCAATCTGAATACAGGAGGCAAACACGATGGCGGAGCGCGACCTGGGCTCCACCTTCCTCTTACCGCACGTACACCTCTATAAACCTGACCTTGTGGGTATTGCACCTCTCTCTCTAACACGTCACGTCTCACTTAATTTGTAATTATACCAACAATATTATCAAATCACTGCCTTTTATACATGGATAGGTCGTTGCTTGGAAATGACAACATTCGCTGTGTTCTGATTTGAATGCGCCTGTTATAGTTCCTGACAGTTATATCTCTGTTATTAGTTCCAATTCTCACCACCGCCAACATGGCGAGAATCAAATTGACACAAAATAACGCGGTTTTTAGCCTGTCCATGTATAAAAGTCAGTGCATGAAATTACTTCAATGTATACAGTCGATCCTGAGTACGAAAACCGCGATGTTTCTCGATTATCTTGGTTCGACTGTGTTTACTTGATAAATATAACTTCCTTTCCTAGATTTAAAACTAATTTACCTAACGATTTAAGTATATTTATTCCTTTTTAACTTGATAAAATTTTATAGTTTACAGCTAATCTGATTTTATGCAATTTATTTCTAGACGTAATGTTGACAATAAGCCGCTAAGTCGTATTATTTTTAATCCAAATATTGATTTAAATTTTAATATGTTTTTTTTTCTTTGATTAATTTTAGACCAGTGACGTATCGGAGTTTGATTCGTTGTGAAGATGAAGAACATTCAAGATATTAATAAGTATTTATTTTGAAATAAGAAGACTTGGCAGATTGAATATAAGAAGTTTAGAGAGAAGAATAAAAGTTTCACTAATTGTTTCAGAATATGTCTTTTGGGTACACAATTTTGTTTTTTAAAGAATTATTTACCACCTAAAGGATTATTAATGGATTTATTTATTTATTTGAATTTGATAATATTTTTTCCTTTTGTTTTTTTGCTTTACAATAAAATGAAAAGTTTATGAATGCCATAATAATGTAAGAATATATTTATTTAGATTTAAAGTTGTATGAAAATAATTTGAACAAGAAATCTGTTGTATATTTTATTAGTTTTTGTACGATTTCTTATTTGAAAAGTTTTCATACATTTATTTCTTGTTAATTCAATGAAAGTTTTATTTATCTACATATTATAGAAGAGAAGAGGTAACGGCCAATCCCAATAATCGGTTCCAAATATTTAAAATAATAATTTCATATCGTTTGTTTCTTTTATTGATTTAGAAAACTCAACAGCATTTAAATAACCAGAGGGGTTAGATAAAGTCCATTCGCAACGAATCGATTCTGTAACGAACTTCAAAAATGTATGGAAGTGAGGCGCGACAATCACGTGACTTATCCTAACTTATTGTCAGTTCCATACATTTTTGAAGTTCGTTATGGAATCGGTTCTGAGCGAATGCACTTTGTCTAATCCTGCTGATCTACAGTTTAAATGCCATATAATAACCGGATCGATCTTTAGGATTTATTATTGGTTTTGGCTGTTAGAAAAGTTGTATTAGTTGATTGTATATTGTTATACAGAGGCTCAAATGCATTTATAACTTAGACTAGTCTTACGGTAACTTATTTGTTAATACCACTTATTAAAATTTTTTATGATTTAAATTAATTTCAAAATGGAAAGTAACGTTTTTTTTGCAAAACAATTTATTATTCAGTTTTATTTATTTGAAAATCGTATTTAAAGTTTGACTTCGATTCATCAAGTCAACGCCTAACGGCACCTTCCCGCCACACCTCGCTATCGTCGCGGCATCCACACCTCGCCGCCTCCCCCGATAAATATATTAAAACGTCACTCTCACTTGCACGGGCGGACGGTGAGAGGTCGAGTTGATGACGTGTGGATGCCGCGGCGATATCGAGGCAAAGCAATGCCAGACGAAAGAGAAGTTGAGTAACGCGCGTTTACCGTGTCTCACTAGCCGTGAGTTTCTGAGGCAGAATCTCCGTTTAAATAAATCGTGATCTCTGTCTTTCATCATTGACAAAATATAGATAACAATATTCCTTAAACGGAGATTTAGGTCTCAGAAACTCACTGTAGGATGCAGTTATACTTAATTTACGGTTCCTTATTGTCGATTTATAAGAAATTTACAATAATCTTCTGTTTTAGTGTCCATTTAAGGACGTAAATGCATCATTTCAGACTTAAAAGTCACTTTCTATTATTTTTAGTGTTAATTAAAAACAATTTATGTGCAAATTTAGTGCCAATGTTGTTTAGAATTAATTTATACGAGAAAAGTTTAATAAAAGTGGTAATTATTGTTAATTATAATTATTTTTTAGTCTGTGTACAAAATTAATTTATTTTTTAATTTATCATTACGTGTTTTGAAGCACTGTAAAGCTTTTAGTCCTATTTATTTATTTGTGAATTAAATTTTTTTTATTACAAATTTTAACTTTTTATTATGGAGGCAAACCTCATTAACACGTTTCTACTAAAATAATGAATATTTACGATTATTTTACTTCGATAAGCCAAGTCCAGTCCCGATGGATGTCCTCCATAAGATAGAAACTCGAGCTATCCAGGGTTTGACTGTATTTTTGTTACTATACTTTTATCCAGTGGAAAAGGAGGTTAAATGAAACAACAATTTAAATATGAGACATAGCGTTTTTATTCAATATTCAATAGTAATTTAGTTATCGATAGAATATTTAGCAATATTACAAATACAACGTGAAACAATTGAATAGAGCAACTTAACTAACTTGAAACTTAATACAGCGCAGCGGAGCCCAACACCGAGAAGCACATCGACTAACCGCATCATTCAACTGCATAAACACACAAACATATGTCCATCCTTATCATTCATATAGATAAAGCGTAGATGACAGTATGTTCCAATGTTTTTGCAGTGAAAAAACGGTTAAAACATAAACTATCAATATAAATACACTAGCAAATGTTACATATTTAAAGATAGAATCGCAGATTCTCATATCTAACTCCCAAACTACATTTCTATGTCATGTCTCCTTCAGTCTCAAACCACAAGAACCACCCTCTATCCACTATCCATCTGAGATATCTATCTATCCTTGTCTACGCCATCTTGATTTTTATTTTTTTTCATATTTGGATATGAGCACATCTTGAAAAACTATTTATTCTTACTTTTAATTCTACGACCAACTATTTGGATGGACAAAGCCTTATTTAAGTTTATAAGCTACTATGGCGATTCCTTATTATGTCAAAATTGGAAATGAAAAGCAAATATAAAAGTTGAAATAAATTATTATAGATTAAAAGTCGCAGACATAGAAAAGTGTCTATAATTAGGAATTTAGGAAATCGTATCAAAATTGTCTAGTCACTATTTTATACTGCCAAAAATAACCAAGTATCAAAAACTAAGTTTTACAAAACGCATAATTAAACATAGAAATGCCGTAACCTAATAAATTTAGTGAACGCATTCAATCGTTAAGTGGCCACTGAAGTTTTAGTGTAGATTTTAAATACCCTTAGTGGTTAATTAACGAGTTGAGTGCAGGACATATAAAATCGTAAGCAGTCTGTAACCACTAAAAAATGTTGGCCGTAGCTTCCACGATATCTATCCGTTTGGTATACTTATATGAGAAATTGTGCAAAACTTCGAAATATTTCGTACTATTAAGCGAAATAGTTGTAATCAAAAAATCATTTTTGTTCTTTGACATCGATAAATGACTACCAAGGACGTCCCTTAGTGTAGATTTAAGTTCTACAGTAAGGGAAAGGGAAAATCCTATATCAAAATTTCAAGATTTCATCATTTTTATAAAATATGCTTTTGCTGAAAAAGCGGCATTTTAACTATAAAGCTAAGCTTCTAAAACTTTAATAAATCGATGGACAAGCGTCATATAAAATTGACGCGTCATTACAAAATGAGTACCAAAAATAACCGTAATTTGGTTAAATTGCAATAACAAATATTTTATTTAACAATTTAACCAATGTTAAAGTTTGTCAGTAGAAAAGTGTCTAGATTTTGTTGTAGGTTATGTTCTAAAGTTAGTGACGTTCCATAATTTCAAGATGCGTTCAGAATTATTTTTGTCATAATTTTATTGTGATTTTTCTTCAAGTAACCATTTAATAGCAATATATTTTGATACTTTTCCTATATAAATAGGATCTTAAATAACTGGGAATTTTAAAATGTTCTTGTAATCATGTTATTAACCCTTAATTCGACGATTTTTTTTTATAGCAAAAAAAAACTTTTTTTTACTAAAGTAATACTTACGTAATTTTCTCTAAACTAGTTCAGTAGAATTTAATTACTTCGTCACACTGAACACCAACGAATTAACCCTTAGTAGCCTAGAGTTTCAATTTTGATACCAATCTTTTAAACCGAATGTTCACATTACTATTAGTTTTTTATAGGTTGGCTGTACCTATTTTACTGTTGTGTAATATTCTTTCCAACCAAATTAAAAAAAAATTTCATTATTGTTTTATTTTATCAAGCAAACAGTAATATAAAAAATAAATCACTTTCGTATATAAATCAGGCTACTAAGGGTTAAGGGTTAAGGGTTAAAGAGTGTTAGATATTTGTCGAATTTATTAATTGCCTTAGTTTTATTTTTATAAATAAGCGCATCGTGCGATCGCTTAAGCTAAATGTTATTTGAAATTGTCATAGCAAAATTATGTTCAATAGAAATGTTAGGCTTATTTCTTTGCAATTTCATCGAGACTTGAGAGTGGAGACTTCGCTATCATTGTGAGAGATCTGAAAAGAAAACATTAGGATTAAAATAAGATTAATCAATTCTTATATGGATATTATGTTCTGACAGTTACTTTCATAATAATAAATTTTAAAAAAATTGAGACTAAGACTGTTATATTTTTTATGTCTCGATGTTAGTTGAGCTCATTTTTAACAAAATAAATAAAACACATGTTAAATTTGAATATCAAATAACCTTATAATTTTAAAATTACAAAATTGAATCTGAACATAATTTCCATTTAGAAATATTTATTCAAACCGAAACTCCATGCTATATAGTTTACACAAATCAGCAATTTAAATAAAACCAAAAAAAAAACAATCATAACCGTAAAATAAAAAGCAATGTATATGAGATAAATATATATTAATATTTGCAAAATATATATAAAAAGCTTTTTAACTATATAAAAGTGTACCTATTTGTCGGTCTTGTCTCGCGAGTGACTTAAACAATAGCAGCTGCAATAACAATCATTCTTTTAATACTTTTTTAATTCAGCAAATTCAAAATTAAACGATCTTTGAATTTCAAAAAATCAATAAGAAGCGATAAACAAAGATTATAAACATTAAAATTATATCGTATTAAGAAAGAAATAAAAGCCAATTTTGAGTACAGAAGATTTAAATTCAGTCACATTAGCGAAATAGAAATAAGTTAGCAATAAGCTGAATTTTAGTACAAAATAAACCTTAGTTTTTTTTATATCATAAGGTGGCAAACGAGCGAGCGGTCACTTGAAATCGCTGAAATAGCGAGGTGACCGTTGCCCATAGACATATGCAATTGCATATGCGTTACCTACCTTTAATACTTTAGTGTCACGAATAATCTGTCTGGTCTAATAAATTTACGATGAAGACATTTTTTATCAAAATCTTGAGTAAATTTTTTAAATGTATATCTGAAAATTCAGCCAATTGCTAGTTAGGTTAAACCTTTACGCTAATATGACTGAACTAACTAAAAGTTCAAAGTACCTTCTTTGAGCTGGTATAGGTGGGGAGGGGTGAGTGGTTGGTGGTAGAGACGCGGGACAGCTGCCTGACAACTGCGACGGACCTTCGTCTTCTTTCTTCTCACCTGCGAAAAAGAAAATTAAGTAAAAGACAATCCAAGCAAATTAGAAATAGATTTAAAAAACATAAGTACTCCTTTCTTAGAAAGAAGACAGGAAATTTAATATAAAAAGATTTTTAATTAATTAAAGAACATTAAATTCAACAAGGATATCTGGACCTGGATATCAAACCGCTGCTCTCACGGTAAACTGCCACGAAATATATAAAACCTACTTAGGCACAAAAATTGCCATAAAAGAATAAAAGAAATCTTCAGTATAACAAGGATCTTGTGACAGTTTTTTGACATTGACAGGATGGCGCTAGTGAGCTGTCATAATTTAGTTTGACTTATATTCTCTCTCTCTTCAACTATGGCACCTGTATGGACATATATTGTTATCTCTGTTTTGTCAAAGAAAATGTAAGGGATGGCAATTGTCTAGGCTGTTAATACAGTAAGAATCTCACCTCTCAATATTGGTGTATCTCCGATATAAAAAGTTGGTGCTGGAGCTTCAACTGTTGCTTCTCGCACCGAGCTGTCAGCACTGACTGCACTCAGTGTGTCAGTACTATCAAACATTATTGTACGCTCCTTCGCCTTTGGTATACGTCCGTCAGAATCCTAGAAATACAATTAATAATATTGCACTGAGAGCTTTGGTGGCTCAGGAGTTTAAGCACTTGATTTGCAATGTTTTTCGATTTACATATGTAATTTGGCATACATGTGCAAATCCCGAGACAATGCAATATTATATATATCATCAGTTCAATATATGTCGGCACTGAGGGGCTCGGAGCCTATCCAAGTAAGAGGTAACTGGCCACAACCACGTTGGCCCAGTGCCGATTGACTTCACACATATCTTTGAATTTCTTCTCAGATATGTGCAGGTTGCATCACGATGTTTTCCTTCACCGTAAGAGTCGGATAAATGTGTATAGATAACTTTCTTCATTTTGAAGACTGCTACTAAAAGAAAAACATGTTTACATGTAGAAGTAAATTTTAAATACCTACCAATTTATCCGTATCAGTTTCTGGTTCTTGTACTTCATAATCATGTGAATGTTGTTCGCTGGACTGGTACTCCAAGCTTTCCACCTGCACGGCAGTGATGGGGTCCATTGTGTCCAGTGAGGAGACCATAGTGTTGGACCCTAGAGGGCGTACCGCTGTTATCTCTATGATTAGTATCAAGCTTGGTGGGATAGCAATATGTTAATATAGATTATATTAAATATATGATTACATAGAAATGTATATCCAGAAGCTTAATAAAACTTTGTGAAAAAAATAAATAATTAAAGAAGCCATTAAAAGACTTTGAAGAATTTACTGATTTAGAAAAAAATTGATTTTGTTCACCAATGCAATGCTGAGTAGAACATTCTGGATACAAAATCGTTATTATATAAAAAGCGAGGATGGTAGCATAATTTTGATTTCCAACAATAAATAGACGATATATGATTGAATATAATAAGAAATAATATTATTCAATTTATTTAATTTAAATTATTTATACAGTTAAATTATATATGCATTAATTTATTAGTTGATTGTTCGTTTTTTAAAGCATATTTTAAATTAGTTGCCAATTTATTTATGATGTTAGAATGAATGATTATTTTACAAAAGGTTCTTACCTCCAGAAGTGAGACTGCCTGTCATCGGTGTGTCCACCTCGTAGTTAAATGTAGCTCTAGTAGCGTTAGAACTTGTCGCTTCCAGACTGTCAGTGCTGCCCAGCATTAAGTCTGCTCGTGCTCTGTAGAACAAAATATGTTTTAAATCACGGCTTCTTTCACTTACTTCACTTTTTACTTGAATGCTAACCTGCTGAAACTGCCAGAAGAACTCAACTCTTCATCTTGACAGCTCCAGGAACCGCTAGCAGGATCTGTAAATTGTTTACCAGAGAAAGAACTGTGAGCCGCCGACCTCCCGGAGGAGGGCGACAGCTCACGTATACCGCTGCCTTCACGCATAAACTCTAAATCCTCCGGCTTCTCCGAAGACGTTACAATAGTTTGATGTGTCACAGTTACGGTCTCCCCCCCGGAGTGCTTCTCCATCACAGTCATTAAACTGTCCATTTCCGAAGGCTGAGAAGCCAAGGACGATGACATCTCTGACCCTAAAGACATACAGCCGTCATCGTACTGCATAGACCTCGATGGAATGTCAACAGCACCCTCGTTATCAGTACTAGAAACGGTCTCCGATACTTTCTTTCCATCGACAAATCTTTGCTGAATTACTGTTGTCGTGCGTACGACTTCAATAACTCCGCCACTTTCTGAGAACGTCCTCGAAATAGCTTGTAACTGCTTCTGTTGACGTTTAGCTTTTTCCTCTTGGTCCAAAATTTTCATCATCTCCTCGCAATCACCAGGTATGGATTCCGCCGACCCGTCACTCGGAGCTGCAGCGCACACGAAGGCTGAGGATTTGGTACATTCCTCTACAGCTTCTTCTGTTTTATCTTTTGATATCTCAGGTTCAGGTTCCGGCACGAAAAATGCGCCACGGTCGTCATGTTTTTTGACTGTTATAATCTTTGGTACGACTTGTTCCTGCATTCTTTGCTCTAGGGCTAGCTGTTGGTCAATTAACTTTCTAATTGCCGCTGAATCAGCTAAGAGACGTTGAGATGGACTACCGTAGCTACCAATTTTTTGTGATGGGCTTCCTCCTTTCTGAGACGGGCTTCCAGATTTTTGTCCCGGGCTTCCACCTTTAAGAGGTGGACTACTGTCCGAACTACTGCTATAAGAACGCTTCTCTTGTTCCAAGAAGCTACCAGTAGCTACCTTCGGATCAGCTTGTAACAAAGCTTCTTTCTGCTTAGCTAGAATTTCAGCTTTTAAAGCTTCCAAGCATGCAGATTCCAAACCCTCAAATTCTTTGAGACTCGATACGGATATATCATCCCCTTGACTTCTACTGAGAATATATCGCCGCGGTAAAGATCCGTTTAACGAATCTTGAGATGACGATGAATGTTGCTGGTACTGCTCCATTAATGCTCTTTCGAGGTTCTCAAATTCTTGCAGTGAACTGATAGATATATCGTCATTTTCTCCGCGCACTCTGAATCTTATTCGTGACGCCATTTCAGATTCTGATAAACTTCCATACGAATTTCTAAAACTACCGTAACTACCAATTGATTCTTTCTGAGAACTCAAACTTCCAATTCTACTAGCATCAAAATCGGTCATTTCCTCTTCTTTAATATCTTCCAGTGGTATTCTTTCATAATCATACCTCGGATCTCCTTCAAACTGCATTTGTATCCAACGTTTACCTGCTTCGATTTCGGCTAATTCTTGAGCTTGTAGCTTCTTTTGCTCTATTTCAAATTGGAGTAGTTCCTCATCAGATAAAGACCCAGAAGCACTGCTGCTGTCTTGTTTCTTTGCGGTTTTTGATAAGTATTCCTCGACTTCCACATCGTGTCTTTTAACATATTTTTGGGAGACTATTTTGACACTTTTTCCCTCCGGATCTGTTTCTTGAGCCTCCTTTGCTACCTCTTCTATTACCACAAAATCATCCATTTCACTTGGTTTGTCAACCATTTCAAATTCATCACTGGTTGGCGAATCTTGTTCCTTTTCGTAAGTTCGTAATGTTTTATCTTCTGTTGTGACCACTAATTCAGATCTACTGCTTTCGGTTGCGAAATCGGATTTCAATTCAGGTGCTTCAGATATGTCGTAAATGTCATCTAAGACGTACTCTCGACCGTTTTCTGTGGATAACGAACTTTGGCTAGGCGCAGACAACGGAGTATGTGGAGTCGATACGTGCTCATGAGTTTTTAAGCTGGATGTGGAGCTTTGTTTGCTTTCCAAATGACTCTCAGATTGCAATACCGTAGATTTTTCTGCTTTTGTTTTAGGTACTGAAGAATCGCTTTTTGATTTCGATATTTCATCGTATTGCTTCGTACCGACAGGTATTATTTCAGCTTCGACGTCAACAAATTCTCTTTGACTCTGTGGCTTTTCCGTAATAGGAAAAGGTACTGCACTGACATCTTGGACAGTCTTTCTTACGCACTGTTCTGTGATTTCACTTTTCTCAGCCTTTTCTTTTGGTACACTCTGTTCTGTTTGAATCACCGTTTGGCGAATAACTTCGTCGTCAGTATGTTTGGTTTGTGATTTTATAATCCCAAATTTCTCAATATCCTCGAATTCTGAAGATCCAACAGGTATTATTTGACTATCCACATCCACTAACTCTCTTTGTGGTTTATCTATCTTTGTTACAGCAAAAGGTATTGCTTCGTCTTTTGTAGTCGATTCTTTTACAATCATCGGCTCTTCCAAGTCTTCTTCTTTGTTTATTTCAGATTGTGATATAGACGAAGATATATCTAATTTAGAAATAGACGACGACAAAATTTCATCAGTTTTAAGTTGACTAGAAATAGTTGTATCTGATCCATCTTTATCCTTTATTGAATCATCCTCAAGCTCAATGCTTTCAGATGTTCCGTCTAAAGGAAAATGTTCTGGGATCATTTCTTTTGGTTGAAATCGCATTTCATGAGATCTTTTCATTTTGCCTAGGGTTTCAATACCATCAACTTTATTCTCCTCATCATCGCCTGACACCTCCTCGTCACTTAATTCTTTTGTTTTTAAAACCTGTTCCTTTTCTGTTTCATGAAGAAATTGTTCTACATAGGTACTGCTCTCCATCAGTTCTTCTTTAAGTTCATTTGCTGAAGGAACTAAAGTTTCAGATGCATCTGAAATATCAATACTCGCTACGTGACTCGATCCATCAGAGTCTAGACTTTTCATGCTGTCTCTTGAAGCAAGCGAACTTCCTGCTGTAAAGTAATCTTTTGAAGTCCTGAGTGATTGTGAAGAGACGTCATGACTCGTAAGCGCAGTTTCAAATTCAGTACCACTCTGGGCTGTTAACATGACCTCGATATCCGAAGATAACGGTCTACTTTCCGAGTGTTCAAAACTTTGATAATGACTTTCGCCAGAGCTAGACCATCCTTCTATTTCAGATGCTGAGCGTCTTTCGACGACACCCAATTTGCTTGTTATGTGTTTGTGAACTCGCAATTTTACTTCCGGACTGCCTTTAGAAGAGCCGTCACGGTCAGAAAATCCGATTTCACTTTCAGTTTCTAAAATAGAATGAGGACCGCTGTCCGATTTTACTGACAAGTCTCCAGTATCGAGTGGTGGGCTAAATTCTTTTATCTGAACAGTTTCTTTTTCTTCTTCTGATGTTAAAGTTTCATCTTGTGAGCTTATTTTATGTGAGATGCTATCGGATTTCTGACTGTCCAATAATTTCTCCTCCTTTTCAAGAGCAATCACAACTTTACTTCCATCATCGGTGTGGTGGGGCTCTTCTGTTATAACATCAGGCCTCTCAGGACTTATTAACATTTTGAATTGAAACTCGGAGGGCGATTGCTTATATTTACTACTCCCATCACTTTTTTCGCTTATAATTTCCACTTGCGCTGCTTCAAGAGACTGCTTGACTTCATCTATAGTTTTTTCCAAAACTGATAAGTCAGTGAGTGGTTGAGCAGACATCAACGTGTCATAATCAACCTTTTCTGTTTCAAGTTTCAGTGCATGAAACTCGGCAGAAGAGAGATCAGTATCATATCCACTACTACAAATGTCTTCGAGACTTTTTTCTTTAATTAATTTTATTTCTTCCTTTTTATGATCTGTCCCAGTCAAATATGCAGAATCACCTTCGGTTGAGAATTCAGATGGCTGTAATGTTTCTGCACTAACAGTAGAATCCATAGATTTTTGCAGAATTTCACCATCATGGAACTCAAGTGATTTGATCATATATTCAGTATCCACGCTTTCACTCGACTTTATCATTAAATCTTTAGTAACGGTAGTCGATTCTTCCCATTCTGTTCGTTCTGTTTCAATCACATTTGGCATCAAATCCATTTTTACGGATTTTACAGTTTGTTCACTTTCTACAACTTCAGTTGATTTGATTTCAATCTTAACGTCACTTTTAGGACTTTCAACAGAACATGATTCACCGATTTCTTGTTTAGCGCCTGTCGGTTCAATCTCTCCCATAACAAAGGAATCAGCTTTGTGTAGAGATACTTCTAATACTTGATCTTGAATTTGATATTGTTGTAGCTTTATCGGAGATTTACTTGGCTTCTCCTTTTTGGGAGTTTCTCCTGTTTTATCATCATGTGGTAAATCAGGTACTACTTCTGATTCAGAATGAGTATCCTGACTTCCTGTTCGACTAAATGAACTTTTAATAGGTGAAGTTGAAACCTTAATTTCTTTAATAAAGTCTACTTCATACACTTCGTTATCTTTTTTGAATGACTTAGATTTACTTCTTGGGCTCATTTCAGATGAGTCTCTCTTATCAGCCGAGTCAGTTTTGAAACTTGGTGCGTGTGAGGCATCAGAACTGAGGTCGTCGTGTTCTTTGCTTTCAATAACAGATTCTTCTCTGTGGTGTTCGACTTTTGAACTTATAACTTTACCCTTTTCAGATATCTCCGTGGTTGAAACGACTTCATCTTTCTCAACAATTTTTAAAGAGGAGTCAACAAAAGCTATTTTTGATTTATCATCTGCTTCCTGAATGTCTTCTAATTCTCCAGGTTCAGTAAAATATTCCTTACCCCACTTTTCATGTGACATTTCTCTTTCAGATATTTTAACTTCCTGTTTTTTCTTAACAGTCTCATCTTTCAGTGCAGTCATTTTTTCTTCCGATTTTGTCTGTCGACCTGTATAGAGACCTTGTTCGGTAAATTCTCTCTCTACTTTTATAATATCGGTATCATCTGTGCTTTTAAAAACAGTTTTCGTTTCTACATCGGATCTTTTAGCAGAAGCTTCGTGTGCCTTTTCTAACTTTTTTTCTGAAGTTTCAGTTTGATCGCCTTCTTTTTTGACAACAGATTTTTCTTTCACCTCGTGTTCCTGACCTCGTAATTCATGTGTAGTTTCAGTTTTAATTACAAGTGAATCATCATCGGAAGAAGACACATGCTTAGTTTCGGAATAAAACTCTTGTCCTGATATTTTCCTTGTTTCAGTTTCTTTCTGACTTAAGATTGTGCTGAATTCTTCCTGAGTTGCTCCAAGTTTTGCGACCATATCAGACATGACGGCATCAGGATCAATGTTTTGGAATTTTAACTCCGCACCTTCGACCGTTTTATGAATAGACGAAGATGATGTAGAGGTTTCAATTACAGATGTAGAGTAAAAGTTTTCCGATGGAATTGTTTTATGCATTTCTTCCATTTTAACGGCAAGTTGTTCCTTTTTTATTTGATCTATTACGTCCATACTCTTTTCGATAGTACGATCGACTAATTCTACTGCACCGCTTGTTAGTGTCGGTTGATCGACATTCACAAAGGATAAGTTATCAGCGACATGTTTGATTGGGGACTTAGGTCTGGCGGCTTCACTTAGCACTTTCGACGCTTCAGTTAATATTCCTGTAAGTAAAAAGGAATGTAAGTGTGTTAAAATGATTTTTTGGGAAAGGTTTTCATTAACATATATTTACTTTTTAAGCTATATAGAAATATGTTTTTACAAAGAAGGTTCTATACACAACAAATATATATTTAAATTAAAAATATAATAGGTTTCTTTCATCAACATTGGAATAATATGTTAAATGCAAGCGATATATACAGGATACGCAAATATAATGGAGAAGGCAAAGACGAGTGCTAAGCTAATGTAAAAGTTATAATATGATAAACTGAATGAAGAAAAACGTTGAGACCAAAGCGAAACGTTACTCAAAAGTGAATCATAAAGAAACGTTTAAATAAAAACGGCGTAGTGATATTATGACGGTAGTTGTAAATTTGAAAGCGACAACAAATGATGATGTGTTTCTGCTGTAGGTTCACTTACCTAAAGCAACGTAAGGACTCCGCAAGAAAGAAAGTAAAATTTACTGTGCTGATAAATTCTGGCAAAGTTTTGTGATATTTGCAAATAAAGACATTTTACAGTTCTATGATTTTATTACGAATAGCTTTACTGGCCCTATTTGATTTTCTTTCCATTTGACTTTACTTTTTTTTAATTCAGGTGTTAATGAATACATGCTTTTAGCATAAAACAAATAGTGTGGCAAATAAGGCTTTTTACGTACTTAAGTCTATGAGTAAAGTTTCGCTATGACTCTACTTGCCACTACATTACTGATTCAAGCTTAATTAGAATATGAGCGTTATGTTTGTAGGCAAAATTTTGAATATTCAATTTAATTTATAAATAATAATAAATATAAATATATCCATTGCTTTTTTAATATAATAGAAAAAAAATTATCACAAATATACGGTCACAAGTATTTCGTATTTATCAGGGAGAGTTTACTGACCACTTTGATGAGCTTCAGTTTCACTAAATAAGCTATCCCCCGCTGAGGAAGCTCGTGGTGACTGTCTGTTCGCGTCCAAGAACGTAGTGTCGGAACCTGGATATTGCATCTTATATTACCATTTGAAAGAAATGTATTAATTCACTATTTTCCAATAAAACCTTTGTAAATACTCCATTAAGTAAAAAAAATCCATCAAAATTAGTCTACAAAGAGTTGAGTTTAGAGGTCACACTCATAAACTGATTCAGAATCTCTTTTTGATGTCGATGGAAAAGGGAATTTAATGTCGACAGCATAATTGCGTGTTAGTATGGCTCTATTAGTGATTTACGAAATATTTTAGCGTGCTCATGTATTATGGACTATATGAGAACTACGTATTTGTCCGGGATAACACCAGTATTTAGTAGATTACCTTTTAGATGCATTCCGGATTGCTTGTCGCCAGCACTGTCATCTGACTTAGCTCTGTCTTTTAAAATTAAATCGACCGGAGATGGAGGTGGAGTTTTCGAGAACTTTGATGCTAGATCTGTAAATATACTTTATTATATAAATACCCAGAAAGTTTCATAACTATAAAATATAAGTGTCCCTTGCAGGATGGAACATAGAGGTGAAATTAGTATTAAAATCATATTTTATATGTGCTTGTAAAAATATGAGTTAACAACTCACCGTGTGTGACGTGACTGGAATCTATTCTTATCAAAGCACCTGATGATATGTCTTCCAATAGATTTGAACATCTTCTGTTCAGTTCTTTCATATCAGATGTGTCCACCTTGCTTATATCTTCATCACTTTTACCTGATTCGTCTTTCTCGATTGCTTTTTGGATTTCATTCTCATCAATTTGTTGAACATCTTTATCTTGTGCGATATCTTGGATTACATCGATTTTATCTAATGTCTTTGTTTTACCAAATGAATCCTGTTCACTTAATAACTTACTCTCTGTCATAAATGACGTTCCTTGGGAAGAACTGGTCGATACCTTTATTATCTTTGATACAGATCTCTCTTCTTCTATAAATTCCTTACTCATTGTTATTGCTTCAGAAATATCCGAGGCTAATGTCTTAGAGACGTCAAATGATGAATGATCTTCAGAAAATGTTTTTTCATCAATCGACTTAGAAGATTCTTTAACGCTGTCTATTGATGTTTTAGAGAAATCCTTGGACAGGTCAGCAGTAGAATCTTTAGATAATTCATTTGTTGCGAAATCTCTTGAAGTATCCTTACTATCCATTGAAGATTTGGAATAATCTTTCGTTAAGTCAATTGACTTTTTAGATAAATCAGGAGTAAGTACTCTTTCGTCCACTTGTTCCTCGAGCTTATATTCTTCTTTAGCCTCTAAGGATGTTTTCGATGAATCTTTGACTAAATCTGCTCCACTCATTTTAGAGAAATCAGCAGATGTTCCATCTTCAACTACTGATTTTTGATCTTCATCTGATGATTTGGTTAAAGTTGATACAACTGTTGTTACAGATGATTCGGTTGTGGATTTCGATACGAATTCAGATCGTAATAGACTGTCAACGAAGTGTGTTTTTTTAACGAATTTTCCTGATGATTTTTCAATTTCTGTATCCTGCATAGAAGTTCTTGAATCGCTAGCTTCGGGATATTCCACTTTACTGTCTTCAGTCTTAACTTCCATTGATTCGGGAATGTGTTCGTAACATTTCTCTTCGTCAGTAAAATAATCAGACTGGAAAAAATATAATTAATTAGCTTAAAGAGAAATACGAATTCAAATAAAATAACAAAAAAATTGCTCACCTCTTTTTCTGGGAAATCATCTGCATCGTCAAGTGAATCAGTTCTTAATTTCTTTGTATCGAAACTAGATGCAGGAATTTTCCCGTCTGTTTCGTTATTAGGCTCAATTATTTCTAGCACTTTAGCTTTATCCATATCTAAAATAAATTAAAAAAACAAGTTTACACAATCTTGCAAATTGATTCATTAATTTATACTGTAGTTATAGAATACTTTTAATCCATTTACCTGATTCAGAATCCGTGTAAATTTGCTCTTCGACTTCCTCCGGAGAACTCTGCACTGAGAATGTTCGAGTTTGTTTCTTTTTTGGTATAATTGCGATTTCTCCACTATCTCTGGACAGAGATTTCATTAAACTTGGCCGATCCTTAATGATTTTAGTATCCATTATTATCACTTGGTCATCTTCAGTAGTCACTTCGTCTACCTTTTCTTCTGTAGACTTTAAATATCCTTCGACTGTAGTTACTGCTTCTTCAATAATAGAGTCGACAGAGACTTTTCCACTTATGTCTTCTAATTCAGGTTTTTCAGTGTCAACTTGAGCAATGTATGGTTCTTCGATTGAAATATCGATATCTTCGGAAGCTTGTTTAATTATGATTTCTATATTGTCTGCCATTTGTTTCATCGCTGAATCAGATTTCTTCATCCCTGTTATATCAGAATCTTCCTTCTCTATACTAGTCTTTTCAACTGTTGATTGAACTGGTTTGGGTAATTCTTCTTCCATTTCAATTTCTGACTCTGCTATTCTTTCCAGTGAAATTGCAGGACTAACACAAGAATGTCGTCTTTCTTCTTTTTGTGGTACTTTTGCGTCGTAAGATCGTTTTTCGCTCTCCACAATTTCTTTAGTTATTGTTTTGATATCTTTTTCTATAGTAGGACTTCTAGTGGCAGATATTACGCTACCTTTCTGCGATAAATCATCGATTACAGATTTCTCTTGTTCTTTAGAAGTATCCGTTTTATCATCTAAACTTGATTCCTCTGTAGATAACTCCTTTTCGTATTTAATATCTTTACTTTCACTTAATATTTCAAACTTCCCAAGTGTGTCGGTCCTTATTTTACTCACATCGAATTTAGTTTCACTTATAGTTGTTTTTGTTTCTGTTTGTTTTGTAATTGATGTTATTTTTGATTGTGATGTAATATCAGTTATTTGTGCTGACGTTATATGTTCAGACTCTTTTACTGATCGGTCAATATCTTCAGATATAACTTTTTCATGTGGTTCAACCGTTTTAGTTACAGTAGTAACCGTTACGGTTGTTTCTCGTTTTAACTGCGCTTCTCGTTCTTTATTAAGAAAATCTTGCACTAAATGTTTGTCGGATGGTAACCTAGAATTAAAAAAAATATAAAAAAAACCTTTACTTCTTGAGATCCAAAATTACTGATTTTTTAAATCTTACCCTGATTCTGATATATGTGGTAACTTATGTACGTATTCAGTATGATCCTCAGGAAAACCTTCAACATCATCAAGTGAGTCACCATGAGTTAACTTTGCAGGTTTTGTTGGTTCACTTAATTTCACTGAAATGGAACAAAAAATAATTGTATCTAATTGCTTAGTGTTACATATTAAATGCTTATTTGCTATACATACCAGGAGATTCGATTTTCACATCGTATTCTTTATGATCAGTCTGTTCTTTGGGTACATCAACATGTGTTCCTTGTGTAGCTATATCATCCTCAGATTCTTCAAATGTATAATCTCTTGATTCTGTAAGACTTTGGGCATCAGAAAGTCTCTTTTCTTCTAAGCGTAATTCACTTATAGAACCTGATCCCGCCGATGTAACAGATTGCCGTTTATCTGCCATTGCAACTATAATTAAATATATTAAATTTTATTATTGTTCTGTTAGTAAAAACTAGATCTTGAATAAAACGGTAGACTAGCTCTCAACAGAGTAGGGAATAACTTACTCGTTTCTTATCTTTGAAAAATAAGTTTGTGGTAACCTCGATATCAAATCGAGTATTGGTAATTAAATCTGTTCATTAGTTTAAGATTTATATTTTAACCTTACCTTTATCCACTATCTCTTCTTTTTGAACATGTCTTCTTAATTCCACTTTTTCGGTACCCGTCATTGATTCCTTATATTCTTTTTCAGATTCCTGTTCTAACAGCCGTTGACCTTCCTTAGCGGCTTCTTCTTCAGATGAAGTCTTTTTATCAGTAACAGCGTCTTCTGAGGATATTCTGTCAGAAATACCCTCTGATGATTTCCTATCAGATATTTCAACTTCTCTACTGCTTTCAGATGAAATTTTATCAGATGTTTCATCTTTTTCAAACGACTTTTCTATTTCTTCTGCTTCGGTTACAATCACCTGAAATTCTTGTTTAGGCTTTGGTACTTCAATGTCCAGTTGTAAATCACTCAACTTTGTTATGGAAATAGATTCAGTTCTGGAATGACGTTTTGGAACGACCTTTTTGAAAACAACTTCAGTTTCTTCAACTTTGTCAGAGTCTGAATCTTTACTATCTCTATGTAATGCCTTTGGATCTATTTTAATAGCTGTAAATCCAATACTTTCTTCGAATTTCTCATCTCCGAAACCGCTGCCCGAGTCTGCAGTTTCCTCATACTCGGCCCGTTCATCAAAATCAGATGAAGAAATTTTGGCTCTAAAATCTGATTGGTCTGATTTCAGAGATTCTGCTTCTGAATGACGTCGAGAATCAGTATGTTCTGAATCCTCTAAGGAGTCAGAATAAATTCGTTTTGAGAAGAAACACTCTTGCACGGAATCATCTTCAGGGACTGTTTCTATAAACTGTCGCGCTTTTGAACTTATTGGCAATTCCTTTGATGGTGATTTCTAAAAATATACAAAAATTAGATTACATTAGAAATGTTAATCTGTATTTATTAAAATCCTTTATCTAAACTAAGAGGGTACCTTTTCAGTGTCTTTAAGGGTTGATTCCGTCTCAGTTTCTACAACTTTTAGAACTTCTTTAATTTTTGTTCCATCAATATGAGTTTCAGCGATTGTTGAAATTTTTTCTTCCATTATCGAAGAGATCGTCATTTCTTTATCATGAACAGGTCGATGTGCAGGACTTATTCCTACTTGGTCTTCTAAATCAGAAAACTGTGACGCTTCGTCCAATGAATCGCTTCTATGTTTCGAATATGCCTGAAATTGAAAGGTCAACAATGAAAATTGAGCAAGCTCTTATTATATTCAATATTTTTTTTTAACTTTAAAAAATTGTAACTGACCTTTGATTCAGTATGCGAAACAAAACTGACGTCTTTTTCAGTACTTTGTTGTAGATCGGCTAAGGAATCGACTTTATCTATAGTGGACTGTGCAGGAGAATCTTGAGAAATCTTTCGCGCAATAGAATCATGTAAGTCTGAACCAGTTGAATCTGTCTTAGTATATTTTGTTAAATCAGATTTCGTGCTTGCTGTAGACTGTTGAGTGTCCATCTAAAGAAGAAAAAATAAACGAAATATGTTGATTAAAGCAGTGAAGACATGTTAAGAGATTACATCAAATCAATAGTACCTTTTCTGTTTGCTTAACAGAAACATCTTTTTGTTCTATGTCTTCTGTAATGTCTTCTTCGCTAACTTTACTTCTTAATTCTTGAGTTAATTGTTTTTCGAGCTTCATCTCCGAAATTGCTATCCTGTCACCACCTTTTTTATCATGATCATCATCATCTTTCTTATGTTGATCATCCTTGTCTTGGTCCTTTTCAGATTTTGTTTCAGGTTTGTCCCTCATGTCAACTTTTCCATCATAAAAAAGTTTTTCAGCACCAACTTTTGACTTAAGTTTGTCTTTTTCTACTTTAACTGTAGTTTGTGATTCAGTCTCCGTTTCGGAGTCAGTGGACTTCTTAAGGAACTCGCTATCTTCCTCAGACGAGACCTGCACTAGTGTCGAATCAGTTCTCATGGTTTTAGGGAATGGTTTAATTTTTTCTTCTTGTTTTGTTTTTGTATCGAACTGTTGTATTGTTTCTTTTACTGACTTGACAGTTTCGACATGCCTTTCAGAGTCATATATTACTTTTTGAATAATATGTTCGCGAGTGTCTGCACTCGATATCTGCTTTGATTGTTCCCTAACGAATTCTTGAGTATATTCTATACTTTGATCTTGTTCGAGGGTGTGTTTTTTCAAAGCTTCCTTCGTAAGTTTAATAGTTTTCGTAGTGTCAATCGATGGTTCCTTGGAAATTTTAGACTCAAATGAACTAATTTTATCCCTTAGTGTAGCTTCCGCTACGTCTTTCTCGGTATCCATTACTAGTTCTGGTGATTTATCACCATCGTCTAGTTTTTCTTCGACTCTCGCACTGTCTATCTCCTTTTGTGAAATAACTTCTTTTGAAAATGAGTCAGTTTTTGTCTCAACTACTTGTTTCGTCTCTGTTTCAACAGTTATAGATTTTCTCGGAGTTATGGTAACGTTGGAAAAGTCTCCAGATGGGAATCTCATAGATTCGTTTCTCATATGTCTTTGCAAATGTTTAGGTGTTGGTTTGGCTGGTGATGATGGGTCGAATTTTCTAAATTGTTCTACAGGTCGTTCAACTTTTATTTCTTCTACTTTAGTTTCAACGTGTTCTTTCGGCTCTTCGATTTCTCTTTGGTCTTCTACAGTTTCGGGTGATGTTTTCGAACGTGTTCGTTCCGTTTTTGGTTCTTTATCTTTCACCTAAAATCAAAAATGTTATATTATTCTATACAAATAAGAAGAATTCAAATATTTAAATTATCGTCAAACCTGCTGCTCGATGTCGTGGAATTTCTTAATATCCGGTTTTATTTGAGTCTTAATCTCGATAATTTCTTCGCGGATTTCTTTCTTTTGTTTCGAAGCTGGTATTTTGCTTGAACTGAGTTTTTTCGTAATTTGTTCTTTCCTTTCAGCTACACTACGTTTCACGTCTGTAATTCAAGTCGATTAATTTATGCTTATAGAATTATATAAGGAGACAGTTACATCAGATATATGAATATATGCTGTAATAAATTATTTACCTTCATCTTCCTCACTGTCCTCGCTAGGTGTTGGAGTTCTCTCCACTTCACTCTTATCTACAACAGATTTCTCTTCCGGTGAATATTTAGCTTCATCCTGGTCCACTTCGGATTCGTGACGTATCGCTTCTGCTATTTGATTGTCGTCGTAAATCCTTTCTTTAACTTTGTTGTCCTCTTCCGCTACAGCACACAAAATAAATATGTTTAGGATAGGAGGTAAAAGCTTTGGTGTAAATTATCAAATTTATAACGTTTCAAAAATCATTAAAGTCTTGTTTACTAAACTATACTATTTTTAACATAACAAAGGTACATTTGCTACACTACCTTTGTACGCTTCGATTTCTTCAGATTCTTGTCTTTCTTGATAAATGTTCCGTTGGATACGTCTTTCATTGCTGTCATCTGACTGAGATGCGATAATATCGTCTCTTCCGATGCGGCATAGTGCTAGCTCTAAAGAATTATCTGCAAATTAAAGAGTGGCTGATATACAAGGAAATAAGCATAACTAACAGACCCCTGAAATGAATGACGCTCTGCACAGCAGATTTTGTGCAGTTTAGGAAAATGTATAGAACTGGCGATAACTTTCAATGTAATTTATTTTTACATTTAAAGATTTTGCTAGCAATATCCATAGTCGAATGTGACTTAAGTAAAATACCTAGAGCCTTAGTTCCTGATTGCGTCTTCCATAACTTGAGCATAAGCTGCGCCTGTTCAGCGGCGGTGATGCGCTTGGCTTGTATCTGGTTAACGGTGGCCACGCTCACGCCCAACTCGTAAGCCAGCGCCACCCAGTCCTTACCCAATAAGTTGCAGATGTCTTCCAATCTATAACAAGTATGTTCATGAACTTATAATTAAATAAAAACTAAATTAAGGAGCAATCGTTGGCCTTTGTCTAGAATTTTTTTTGCTAGTTTGACTGGATCGGAATTTTCTTTGAGACCTACATCCATTCTCATGTTACTTTCCATATTCCAGTTCCATTTCCATTCTAATATCTATGTAATGTGTTACCGAGGATCCCTCAGTCTCTGCCTCCATATGAGTTCCTGGTCCTCGGTGCGGCGCGGTAGAGCATCCTGCTGCACGGGCGACGTCCTCTCCGTCGCGATGTCATCCGGTACCATTATGTTCAGGATAGCGATCTGGCAATCATCATGACAAAGGAAACTGAATCATTGTATTACCTATGCGTCACAATCAATAAACATTTAAAGGTTATTTAAGCTCTTCTTAGTGTTGTTAAAGTTAACATTATTTTTTACATATTTAGTGCCAGAAATCCACATTAAGTCAGAAAGTAGTCAGAGACTCTTATAGAAGAACAATTCAACATGAGTACCACCAGATATTCTTTTATTAAAACAATTATTACCGGCGCTGGAGAAGGTTCTCCTTTAGGAACCTTGGGGTCCCTCATGAACTGGCAGCGACAGATCGGCTCCAGATCCTGAGTCTTGATCATCACAGGGAATGCAACACGGTTCTCCCTGAAGGCGCGGAACGGTATTGAAAGCTGTTCGCCGGACTTCGCAACGGGGACTAGGTTTCCACCAAACTCCAAGTATACCGGTTTACCTTCGTGGACCTAGGGAATTTTAAATATCGTTACCATATTTTAATAATTGATATTAATCAATTATTAAAATATGGTATCATATCAATATCAATTATTAATATTTGGTTTGATGGTTTGTCGATTACGACAAACCATCAAACCAAATGATTCGCAGATTCTACAAAGCATGCAAAAATTTATTTCGTTTTACACTAGAAACCCTCCTTCATTCTTTAAGAAAATTTCTTAACAAATTCAGATCTGTAAGTTTAATTACCTCAACGTCGCGACTCTTGGCAACTTGTATGAACCGTTCGATCCTCTCCAATGCTTTGTCTTCCTTGTCATCAGTGACGCAGAACATTCTAAGCTGCGCTTGACATTCGTCTGTCCGCTTTGCGTACACCACGAAACGTGCCATAAAAGGAACGTGGATTGCCTCCCTAGAAATAAAAAAAATGTGGATAAAATTCCTTTCACATTTATTTAGTACTAGCTGTCGCCCGCGACTAATTAAAAGAAACTTAATCAGTCTGCTATGGGTTCCTCCAGACTGTGTTCTGCATCTATTCTAAATTTCATCGAGATCCATGCATCCTTTCTATAGAAACGAACGTCCATCCATCCATCCAAACATTCGCATTTATAATATTAGTGAAAAAGGTGCGTTCGTTGGAGATTTCGGCTTCTTTTTGTTAGCGACCGAAGGGGTTTAGTGTGTCAAAAAAAGGGCTAAGTTTGCTTACCTGTACAATTCAGTAGCCATCTTAGTAGCGTCTTCAATATGACGACAATCGATCAACCAATATCTTGCAGAGACGGTAGTCGTGAAGGAAACGCAATCGTTGACGAAAGTAAGGGGCGTGTTCTCGGTAACATCTTCCCAATGCGCGCGATTCGTTCCACCTGAAGTATACGTCATATCAAACTAACAAATCTTATAATAATAAATAAATAAAAGCTATGCAAAATAATACGAGTACTGCCAATTTGTTAACAAAGCATTTAAGATGGCAGTATTTTGCTGGTATCACCGCAACAAAACTTCCTCTCTACGCATGCTGAAAGCAGGCCTTTAAATTTTAATAGAATTAAATTAAAATAATCTACTTTACAAGGAATTAACTACGATACATCTATTCAAGACAGATATGAATAGAGTTAGAAATGTATTAGAATTGTACACATATACTTTAAATATAAGTTCAAATAATAATGTGGACAGATATCGAATTAAATAACTAAAAATATATCGCAAAAATAAGAAATAAAAAAAAAGTTTCCAAAACGGCCTATAGCAAACACACAACAAGCAAACACAACACACAAGGAAACGAGAAACAAATTATTTTTTTATAAATTTTACTAACAAGAAATTACAACGTGGCATTTAGTTAAATTATTACCTGATAATCTTAAAGTAAGTGCTATAATTTTTAATAAATAAAACAATGAATGTATTGTTAATTATCAACAACGAATTATATGCAGGTCTGGTTTTTCCAAAAAACAGATCTCTCGAAGGACAATTACTGAAATGAAACTGAAGTGACTAACCTAATCGGTGATATAGAGGTAAAATGATAAAATGATATTAAAAAAATAGAATCGATAGGCCGTTTTGGAAATAAAACTTTGTTAAGAAAAAGCAAATAAATATATTAAGGAACGTCTGTCGCAGAAATATGAAGTGATGATGAATCGATGATACACCGCAAATAATATCCTAAATAAGAAGAAAAGATCGTGTTCTGTGATTTGTTTATAATGTGCCAGTATTTTGATCTAAAAAGGTTGTTTTTAAACTTTTTTTAAAATACATTTACCAGTGTTGCATCAGTGCGGTAATGTTCCAAGTATTGTTACATTTATGTTACAGTGTAATGGTGATTCAAGCTTAAAAAAATCAGCCCGTGCATTATAGAAGTATGTATGAGAAGCGAGAAATGGAAAAAAAGCATTCATAAAATCGAATAAAAAAAAAGAAATCTTTTCAGACATGACATTCGAAGAACAAAAAGCGCGTTGAAACATCTAAAACAAATGAAATGTGAAATAAAACAAAATAAAAAACACGAAATAATATTAAATCGTGTAACTAAAACCGAGTTCAACCCTGTCTTTAAAGTTTACATGGAAAATTCTATATTTTTTTTACCTTCGAGAGATCGTTTGCGAAAAACCCCTGTTGGTGGGCGTCCGTACGTGGGCCGCGATTAATTTAGTTCCAAACACGGTGAGCGTGCAACACACACAAACACGAGAACAAAGACAATGTAGACACGACATAACGCACACAGGGGCACGGCCCACCTCTCACTGTATTTGCTATAAGCGTACATTTCCATTGTGTATTTTCTGTTCCGTTGTTCAGTAAATCCATGTTATACAGGCTGTTTAACTACTCTAGACATCTGATAGACATGCTCATCCCTATGTTTATAGATTTTGGGATATTTTTTTTTCTAAATTCGATAACGTTTTTCAACTACACTATATTTTACAAAAGATATAAAAGATTCTATGATATAGGATAAATTACTATATTTAAAAGATGTTTTCAATCTATAATTACTCTATAGATATTTGAAAACTACCGATGATGTCTTTTCAAATTGTAATACGATAAACGAGTCGATTTTGAAATAACTTTTTTATTCTACATCGTGTTGTAATGGAATATAGGTTATACATAAAAAGTATATAAGCCTAACAATAAGCTTGATTTTTACCTACTTTAGGCTGACTTACCTTTTAGCCAAGCTATATAAGCCATAATCCATTGCAACACTTCACATAACACCATTTGGATATTGGAAATGAAATCAACAAACAAAAACCCTTGGTTCAGTCAAGGAAAATAATTTCCTACCCAATATATTCTAATAAGCGAATTAGATTTGCTGTCTTTTATCGTCTCCAATATCCGTAATGATTTGTAATAAAAGATAGTAAGGCAACGTACCTGATATGGAGCAAAGTAGACGAAGAGTTGGGGCTGATGAGGTGCTGTACTGGTTGGTCATGCCCTGGGTGTGGGGACGTGGAGCTGGCATGCTGAGTGTGATAGCTTTATGGAACTTCCGTCTCCTTGGCTCTACGGTGACCACTGGTGATACTGCAACTCCACGGCCGAGAAGTTTAGCTGTCAGTTCCGAATCTATGATTTGGGCCTGTCGAGTGAATTTGTTTGTTGTGTATTTTTGGATTTGTGTAAACTAAATCTATGATATTAATTTTTAGTTTTTATTGTTTTTTTTTAAGTAATTTATAACTAATTAGTTTTTTGTATATTCTTCTTGTTAAATATTTACTTTAGCTCTTCTTGTTATCTTCTTATGTGATTACGATTCTTCTTACGTTTTTGTATTTATGTATTTTTGGGTTGCAAATACCAAACTGGACTTAAAGTCCATCTGAACAACGATCTAACATTTTTTTGACGCGCGATGGATTCCTTGTCAATGATAAATGTTTTAAATGAAAATGATAATAATTTTTGGTCCTATTTAAATAAAACCAATGAAAGAAAATGATAAAAAAACTTTTCTCAAAGACCAAACGTGTTTTGTGAAAATGCTTACATTTTAGTGCAAATTTAAAAATAACAAATGTAAAATAAAAGATAACTTACCTTCTTAAATTTTTGTCGATTCCATTTATTAAATAAAAAAAATCAAAACAATAATGTGTGTAACTCATTAGATTAAAAAGAAATGGGTTGTGCAAAGCAAATATGAACATATGAAATCACAGTAAAAGCACATGAAATATAACATCCTTTATCATTCATCTTAAAAAAAAAACTCACATATTTCTCACACATGCGCTTTAAAAAAAACAAAGCATTGGAACACACAATTGAGCAAAATAAACACAACATGCAACTCTCACGTTTGGTCTTTAGGAATAAAGTTCAAAATTGCATAACAAACATTCATTATTGACAAGGCAAAGCACAATATTACCCAATAAATTTATCAATCTTAAAAATATACTTAAACATACGTCACTCCAAAAAACGATAAGAAATTTAAACCTTAACACTATAGAATTAAGATTACTTTTCGATCAAGCTTTACAATCTCTTACCATGCCATAACCTAAAGACCAAGTAGAGAAAATATTAAACATTATTGCGTTAAAACGCAGTGTGAGATATCGAGTGATTTCATACATTACAAATTTACTTTGATTAAAAACAAGAATATTTAAATATGATTTTAATGAATTATTACAGAAATTCTAAGCAATTTTAAGATAATTCTAAATTTATTGGGTATGACATCAATCCCTAAAGGAGTAACGCATATTTTAACATAATTACTTAATAATAATAATTAAAATTAAATAAATTCCATTAAAATACAGTCCGATTCATCTATTCATTAAATACAATATAGATTAAAAATCAATATAATTAAATACGGTAACTAACTTCAGATAACAAACGAAAGAATATCGGTTGAAACATGACCTTGAAACTGATATAAAAAGGGCTAAACACTGACGTATATTCGTCCGGTGGCGGCACCGACTAGTTTCGAACCCATCGTCTTGTCGGTCATGAGCGATGGGCCGACTCCGCGAAATAATACTAGTCCCACTCACCTTGATGAAGTACGTCAGTGTTTTAGCCGTTTTTATATAAGTTTATGACCTTGAAAGGTTAAAAAGTTTACATACCTTATTATCATAAATACTAAGCTTAAAATTGTTATTAATTAAATCCAATTAAATCATTAATTTCTCTTTTGGTCGCAGATAATAAATACATAAACATTATACTGCCAGTTTTAAAATAATTAAGACAAAAAATAATTTCGAATGAACGAAACAATGAATCGGATTGAATACAAAAACTTGTTAAAGGTAAGAAAGACATAGTACATATGAGTACATAATACTAAAACTAATATAATACTAATAAAGATTCAATTAAAATTTCACTAACACACTGGTAACTACGTTATCCTTATCACCTAACATGTCACAGATCGCTTGTTAACTTCGTCAGTTTAAAATGGGACTAGAGATATTACAAATTGTCGGAAAATTGAAATGATTTCATATGTTCCACTGAGCCAGTTTATAATATTCCTAGTCCGATTATAAACTAACATATTTCACTAACGCCTGTGACATGGATACGTAAAATATTTCTTAAATTATTGCTCGTTATACAAATAGTATTCTAAATACAGATAAAATTAAATTTCATAAAAAAATCAATGTTTATTTTTGTTTCAAAGAACACCTAATTTTAAAAGTTGCAGCCAAAAATAAATTCTCAGAAAATCTTTATATATATAATTCTTCTGTGAGTGTGTATGTAAACGACTGGACCGATTTTGATGAAATTTTTTGTGTGTGTTCAAGGGGATCTGGGAATGGTTTAGATTCACAATTTTATCCGCTGGACAATGTTTTTTTAGTTAATTTTTAATTTATTAGTAGTTGTTGATTTTGGAATGTTTTACATTGGATCCGACAGACGGCGCTACCATCATTAATTCAAATTAAAGACGTGTAGACAGGACAACGTCTGTCGGGTCCGCTAGTACTTTATAAAATCTAATTCCTTCTGAATTTTATAGACCTTAAAATTCCAAATTATCATTGACATTAGTTATCTGCTTTTAAAGCTATAAGCAAATTATTTAATAGTAATACTGGAAATTTTATTATTATTTTAATTAACCTCACTTTGAAAAAAACTATGTCTACTAACATTCTAATTGTAGCAATTCCAATATTTTACTTATAAACTTATAAACTGTTGGTTTCTGAAACCAAAATCTGCACAAAACATATCGTCACTGACATCTTTGACAAAACAGAGATAATATTTTAAACCAGTATTTTGGTCTTAGAAACCCACTGTAAATAATCTTAATGTTAAAACTAATGTGATACATATACGTTACCGTATTTTTATGTTAATTAAAGTAAATGATTTCTAGCAATCTAAATTCGAATTATGTTTTTGTTTTTAAAATAATATTTGGCATCATTTTTTGTACTATTATTAAGTGTCCATTCAAAACTATTGATAATATGAAAATACTAGCTATCGCCAGCGACTCCGTCCGTAATAAATAACATAATTAGTAGCCTATGTGTTCTTTCAGACTATGTTCTATATGTATGCCAAATTCCATCGAGATCATCAGCTGTTTTGAAGATATTTTCAAACATCCACCCACATATCTAAACATTCGCATTTATAATAGTAAGATTAGATACGTGAACTTCTACGGCTTAAAAACATATAGAAAAACATATTGTAATCACATTTAAAATACATACTAAGTAAATAGTATATATATTATATAATAAATTAATTAAATACATATACTTGTACTACCAAATTAAAGAGAATCGTTTCTTTTTCGATACATTATTAACTGTAATCTTTTTTAAATTCATATCTTTGACACCTTTCCGAGGTTTGAACAGGTTTACCTGAAGGCCAACTTTGATCTTCTTCGTCAACGCACCCTGGGGGAAGACAGCCTGCACTTGAGGTACCACGGAACTTGATACCATACCACCTGGAATATTTTAATTAATTTAATTACTTCAATTAAAAATATTGTATTAGATAATCGGGATATTTCAACTTGACTAGAAAAAAGCATCGGTGGCTCAGAGGTCAAGCACTTGACTTGCAATCTGCAGGTCCTGGGTTCGAATCCCGCCATGTACCAATGTGTTTTTCCAATTTCCGATTTACATATGTACATTTATCCGACGTTCTTATCACCCATAACTTAAGGTAGGCTCCGAGCCCCTCGGTGGGGACGTATAGTAAGCTGATGATGATGATAGAAAAAAAGGATTAAGGTAAAGTCCTTATACCTTTAATATAGTTGTACAAACTTAATTGACTCGGCAATAGTAACTCGGTCAGTTCTGCCAGAAAATATACTTGAACAGATCAAATAACAAGACAAAATGACTACTTTTATCAACTTAGTCAAATAAAATCGTGGCAATGCAGTAATAATAAATACAAGACAAACTAAGAAAATAATATTTTAGGTTATAAAATGTAATTTACAGTACCGTACTAATATCAACACCAACTTCTAAGATATCAATTTTTATACTTCCATAATTAATATAATCAGTTAGTTACGAGCTTATGTACTTATGTTATATACTAGCTGTCGCTTGCGACTCTGTCCCCGCTCAATTAAAAAAATGTCAATAAGCAGCACATGTGTTCTTCCAGATTATGTTCTACATCTATGCCAAATCTTCTATAAAATCCTAATCTTCTAACAAACATCCATCCAACTAAGCTTTCGCATTTACAACATTAGTAAGATTGATTTACCTTCAGGTCCAATAGCGTGCACCTCTTGTCGGATACGAGAGATGACAGCAAAGTATTGCGGGAAGTCGTGTGTCAGAATACGAGTAATGCGCGGCGCTTCCCAGCCTTTCTCCTCCTCGTTTGTTTCTAAAAAGACAAATAGAATAAGATATATTTGAATAGTGGTAGAGTCCATACGAACATCTAGAAGGAATTGGAACCTAGAGACGAAATACCTCAGAAAGACTTAGAAGACAGACCTTTTAGATTTTATCAATTAAGGAAAGTTCTAGAAAACTATAAAACATGCAGAAGGCTTTGTTTGCCGATTTTGATCGATTTCTAATTAATGGCTTTATCAAACTTAAAGAACTTTAAACAGGAATACGGTAGTCCAATATAATCCATGCAAAGTAATCCTGAATAAACAATTTTTATAACACCGAGGTGATTAACGACGCCAATGGACATCTGCAATACCGGAGGAACTACAGAGGCATTGCTGGCCTTGAAAGAGATGGCGAAGCTACGCCATCAGATACAAAGTCCTTACCTTCAATTTCTAATGTTTCGTGCAGTATATCTTGCACGACGTCGTCAGTAGCATCAGCATTGTGCTCGCGCCAGCTGGTGCCGTTGTCAGAGCGCAGGATGACGATCTCGCGCTCCTTGCCGCGTAGTGACGCGTAGTGTGGCACCTCCAGTATCACCGGACTGAAGGGGATTTAACAACTTAATGATACTCTTAGAATAACTGGTTACTAAGGGAGATATTTAGTGTAGATTAGCAGTTATTTAATCCTGATTGTGGCAGTTGGTAGTACACCAAAAACAATCAACTTTTGACTGGTTAATACTTCCACAGCAACAACTTGGAAAAGGTTGGCTGGTTGATTACAGTTGTAATTCCCTTTAGTTTCTGTATTGCAGTTGTGTTAATTTTGTTGAATTTTCTTTGTTTTCACATACTGATATTGGACTGATTCAATTTTATGATAGTGTGAGATGATAGGAAGAGTCATGTACATTAGATCAATGTTGTTAATATTACCCCAAGAACTTAGCGGAGACAGGACCCATTTCAAGCACACGCGCGGCCAACGCCTCGCCTTCCATCAATGGTGGCATGTGGTTGATACGAGATGGCTTCAGATATCTGCACAAATTTTCTTGATATTAATATACATAAATGAATCCTAATTAAAACATAGAATAGGAACAGAATATAGATTCCCATTTCTACATACTACTTTGGACTTTATTTCTGTTACATCTTTCGCCTCTATTACACCTTATATCATTGGAACAACTTCTATCTCCCATTTTTACTTTTTTTAAAGTAAAAGGTTGCAAACTAGTATACGGCCAGTATTATTTCTCAAAATAGCGAGAAAACCTTTAATGGACAGAGGAGAGAATGAACACAAAGAGGATATCTCCCCCCCGTTTCCTGACATTTTTTCGGTGTTGTAGTCCTTAAGTGTGTATACACTATGTTTGGGACATCCTAATTTCAACAATGCTAATTTCACAAACTGATACTGTGATCTGAACACCATAAGTATCCAGCGCTAAGACTTTTAGTACATTATGTTCCTACAGAACTGCTCCGGTAGTAAACTCCATCTTAGTACCTACAATGAACTGAGTAGCATACCTGCATGTGATCCTGGTGGGTTGCTGTGCGGAGAGTGGAGGTACTATGACACGTACACCGCCGCCACGACAGCCCCGCATGGCTCCGCCGCGTGCGTCCACCAGGAACGACACCAGGAAGCTGATAGAGTTATATATTTATAAGTATGTTAATGACGCGTTAGATATTTAACATTTCTAGTTGTTGTTGTTTTTGATTTAGTATTAGTATATATTTAAATAGAAGTGTGAATGGTTAATTATTAAAATGCAATTTTAACTTACTTTTTCCATTGTAGTTTCTTCCTATTGTTTAATGATCCCAAGCAGCGTGGATATGAAGGTTTTGATTAAAATTATTGCATAATCTGAAATATTATGCCATTATAACTCTTTTTATTCTACATTTCTTAATACTATTTGTTGCCTGCGATTCTGTCCGCGAGGAATTAAAAAAAAATTAAGTAGCCTATGTGTTCTTCTAGACTAAGTGCTACATCTATACCAAATATCTGGAGATACCTTTAAATAAACATCCATCCACACATCCAAACATTCGCATTTATAATATTAGTAAGATAGTATAATAAATTAACTCCCAACTAGAAATCTCTTAATATGTCTGAATACTTTGTTAGACTAGGTGACTTTTTATTTTCAACAAATTCGTTAGATAAAGTTTTAGTTTTAAGATTTCTTAAATAATTTAAATTATATATTTCAGACTAAGAAAATAACTATTTCACCAAATTATACAATTGCCTTAACAGTGAGCCCCAGATACAAAGTTACTGACTTGGGTTGTGAAGGGTCGACGTTGTAGCAGTAGCCCTTAGGTGCCTGCGCAGTGCTGTACCGGCTGATGCTCTTCACAACCACCTCTTGTTGCGGCTGGTACGGGATTCCGTTCACTGATCCTTTGATTGTACAAAGATTTATTATAGTACCAGTTGAGTTGGCACGTCGGGAACGACCGGACTCTACTGACCAACGTGCCAACTTAGGCGAAAGATGTCATAGACAATTTGCAAGGCAATCAATAGTTTAGTCTTAAAGTTTAATCTGACAAAATATAGATTATAAAAAGAAAAAAATATTTCTTATGCTACAAAATTAACAATACTTTTGCTTTCATTTGTATAAGTAAACGGCACTGTAGTTAGAAAGGCAACAAATATTTATATTTCAAGTGTAATCCTAAGTCTTCAAGCTGACCTTGAGATATCTCCATGATGTTCTTATGACTCATGGCTGATTCTGTTCTCTCATCTTTGGTGACGTCAATGGGCAAGGAGTCATCTCCTAATGATTTCATATCATCCGCAGTCAGATAGCGATATGGTTGGTCGTTCAGAATTGTATCTTCTCCTAGAAAAATATAAAACCTTAAATACACTGAATGGGACATATAAACTAGTAACTTTTGCCCGCGACTCCATCCACGCGGAATTGAAATAGAATTTAGTAAGTATCCTATGTGTTCTTCCAGACTGTGTCCTACATCAATTCCAAATTTTATCCAGATCCGTTGAGCCGTTCTGGAGATATATTCTAACAAACATCCATCTATCCATCATATCTTTCGCATTTATAATATTTCATATTGTTTTAAGGATAAAATAATAAATATTTTTTCTGGAATTTTCTTTTTTTTTTAAATAATGACATACCACCTTCTTCTTCCGAGTCCGACATAAATGTCTCCAGCATCGTCTCCGGCGCGACCACTTTGTATTTCTCCTGCGAGGCTGCGCTGATGGAGGGGTCTGATACTTCCTTGAGGGTCTCCATCACTGTGACGTAGCCGAGTTTGGATGCTATGTCTAGTGGAGTTTGACCGTTCTGGAAGAAGTGGTTTTAGATAAAAAATGATAGAGATTCTATGTGAAGTAATTTTTTACTATTTAATTAAATTGTTTTTGTTTTTTCCGTCTGATAAAATTGTTTGTTTTGTTACGCGCAGAAAACAAGCTTGTGTAAAGTTTGAATGTTATAATACAACATTCTTATTATAAAGAATACTTACGACAGTGATAGCGTTTGGATCAGCTTTGTGTTCGAGCAGAATGTTGACGATGTTGATGTGACCTTGTTGAGCTGCGTGGTGCAGCGCGGTGTAACTATAACAAATTACATAATTAAAAAAATCTGTAAATGAAGTAAATTACTGCTTTTATGTGAATATACCGTAACATCCACCCGCGACTTCGTGCGCGCGGAAAAAACCCAACTAAGTAGTCTACTTTCTTCCAGACTATGTTATACATCTGTGCCAAATTTCAACAAGATCCACTGAGCCGTTCCGGAGATACGTTCAAACAAACATCCATCCATGTAAACATTCGCATTTATAACATTAGTAAGAAGTAAGATAAAGAAGCGTAACTTACCCGTGATTGGTCTGAGCTTTGACAGAGGTGCCATTCTCCAGCAGATAGCGCACCATGTTAGCCTGACCGTAGTGACTGGCGATGTGCAGCGGTGTATACCCACCCTTAGTGCATATATCCACCTGAAAGAGGGACGGGGTTCATGGGTAAAGACGGTAAAGAATGTTCATAGTGTAAATTTAATATCTTCAAAATAAACAAACGCAACCAGATCAGTGTAAATAAATGAGGACCTCCTCCTTTTGGATGTCAGTTAATAATCATACCTGTCCGCCATTCTTGACGAGCAGCTGTGCGACTGGCACGCGGTCCTCCTGCGCGGCCAAGTGTATGGCAGCCAGGCCGTTCTTGGCCTGCTGGTCCACCTCGGCACCATGCTCCAAAAGCAACGCACACATTTCCGTGTGACCCTGGTCATATTATTGCGGTGTTAAACAGAATTCAAAAGATAATACAAACCCTGAATTTCATGCAACAGATTCTGAAGAAATCAGAGATTCCCTAGCTTTTTGTAGACGCCTTAAAACTGGTTTTGGTGAACTTCTACAGTTTATCTTCAAATTATGAACCTTTGGTGAACCCCAGGATGTCCATAAGGATGTACCTGTTGAGCTGCAAGATGCAGCGGTGTAAATCCAGCTTTAGATTCGGCGTTAGTAAGTGCGCCGTACTCGAGCAGCGTGGCCGCAGTCTCCATCTGGTTCTTACGGGACGCGATGTGAAGCGGTGTGTGCCCGTTCTTTGCTACTGCCTGTTTAAACAAACAGTTATTAGTACACAGAGCACTTGCCGTCACTCTCAGAATAGATCAGTTACTAATGGAACTAGAGATTTTTTTCTGACTTTCTGTCCACAACTGTTTTACCACTTTTTTATTAGAGTAGGAAACAACTAGACCTACTAGAACCAGACGTACCTTGGCATCAGCTCCCTTTTCCAGAAGTGTGGTAGCGACGGCTTGCTGGTCGTACTGCGCGGCTACATGCAGCGGCGTCATGCCATTCTTGCCAGCCTGGTCGGGCGACGCACCGTGCGCCAGCAATAGATTAGCCACCTTTAACAAACGAAGGATGTCAGGAATAATGTTAAAAAATACAAAATGTATATGTAATCGTACGACACTATTTTTAATCATCAAGGATAAAAAAAAATAACATTTACCTTTAAGTTTCCATATTTAGCAGCTAGATGCAGAGCAGTGAAGCCTTTCTTTGTGGTCGCTGTCAGGGGCGCGTTGTGCTCGATCAAAGCCGCGGCCACCTACACAATAATTTATTTACTGCGGCATAGTTACAATTAGTGGTCACTCATTGACTCCTCAATTGTAGACTTAATTTCATGTAAAACAAAGGAAGACAGATATCATCATCAGCTCACTATACGTCCCCACCGAGGGGCTCGGAGCCTACCCGAAGTTAAGGGTGACTAGTCAAGACAGATATAAAGTAGAAAAAAAGATAAAATGGGATGCATACATCATGATTGTGTTGCTTAGCTGCGATGTGCAGAGCATTATAGTGGTCAGCAGTGAGGGCGCGCACGTCGGCCCCGTGCTGCAGCAGCAACACCGCGATGTCCACATTGCCGAGTCGCGACGCGATGTGCAGCGGCGTCTGACGCTCGCGCGCCTTCGCTTCCACCGCCGCGCCGTTACGGAGTAAGATCCGAATTATGTCAGTCTAAAATATAAATTACACTTAATTGGTGTCATAGCTAAGGAATTAGGAGTTTGTCATTAATATCAGAAACTACTGCTAGATTACTAGAAAAATCTAATCAAAACTAAGTCGTCGTTTTTTTTTTGGATGCGATGTTTTACCTGGTTGGCCCTGGCTGCTAGATGCAGAGGCGTCTCTCCTCTGACCGTGGGCACGTCAGGGTTGGCCTCGTGCTGCAGCAGGTAGATAACGATGTTCATGCAGCCCATGAACGCAGCTACGTGAAGTGGAGTCAAGCCTGACTCCGTGGTTGCTTGGATACCTTGAGTAAGGAATAGTGTTATTAGTAAACTCGAGGTTTTTTTTATGCAAATATTTAGAAGTATATTTTACTTACTTGCTCCATACTTGAGGAGTAGTTCCACAACCTTAATTCTATTCTTCTTGCAAGCTATGTGTAAAGGAGTGAATCCGTTCAGAGCTCGTGCGTTCGCATCAGCATTTCTGTAGGCGTACAAAATATTAAAAAAAACCATATGGTCATCTCTCTCATTATCTTTGCCTAAAAGAGAGACAACAAAAAGTTTCAAATGACGGTAACACTTGCCTGTCGAGTAGCAGCTTGGCAACTTTAGCGTGACCGCAGTGAGCGGCGACGTGCAGCGCGGTCAGGTAGTCTACAGTCACGTCATCCACTGGAGCTCGCCGGGAGAGCAGAACCCTGGCTGCTTCCGCATGGTCACCTTGCGCTGCCATGTGGAGAGGAGCGAGACCGTTCTGCGGAATTTTACTTTATTTACATACAGCTACAGTTGCTTTTTAAGTGGACTCGCTACAAACAATGAGTGTATGGAGATCTAATACAGAGGTAATCATGACCCTACGGTTTATTGTGCTGTGATGTCACAATTTATTTGTCATCATCTTCTCTTCATCAAGTCATAATCCTCCGTCTATCTGTCTTGTTATAGATGCCCATGCCTGTCTCTGACTCATTGCCACCATCTGACCTAAATTTTATATTACAAAAATTTAAAGTCTAACTAACTTCTCCAACGAAATTATCTTCTTATGAGTCAATAATTATACCATGAGTCCTTTAAGTTACAAGAAAAGATGGTTTGAATGTGCTCGCCTCAGATATATTGCCGTGCCCCCATTCTCTAACCATAATTAAGTATAATGCGAGCTGACCTTGCTCTTGCTAGTGATGGGCGCGCCTCTGTCCAGCAGTGTCTCCACAACGCGCTCGTGTCCGGAGCGCGCGGCGCAGTGCAGCGGTGTGAGGCCATCCCGCGTGCGCGCCTCCACGTTGGCACCGTTGTCGCACAACAATGACACCATGTTTTCTTTGCCTGAATACCACAAGATACTTGACCTATCAAGTTAGGTAGATATGCCAAATGGGAAGTAGAGAAATCATAGTTACATGACAACCAGGAGTACTCCAGAATATTGCTGTGTTGGAAAATCACAAAACAGAGATGAATAACATAACCCGTGGAGCTTAAAGGTATCAGTAGTCTTTCTTTCTAAAAGAATTATTTTGTTTATGGCCAGGCAAACCGGCGTGTATCTTTTTGGCTGACGTGACGTCCGATGGTACGCTAGAAAAGTTTGTAGGACTTTTTGTTGTAGCATCCTTACCCCATTTAGCGGCGACGTGCAGGGGACATATGTTGTGTTTAGCCGCGCAGTTGACATCAGCTCCCTTGGCCAGCAGCAGCCGCGCTACCGACTCGTTGCCGTAGTGGGCCGCGATATGCAGTGGCGTGAAGCCAGACTTTGAAGTCACATCTGGGTTGTGCTCATTCTAAAGGGATAGGGGATTGTATTACCGTACGTTATAGACCCTTTATAATACAAGATGTAGACCAACATAATCCAGACTGAGAGGATGAAAATAAATTCATAGTTTTTGAATCATAACTTTATATCACGAAGCTTCTATCAAAACAAGACCTCTTTAGTTAAGAGAGTAAAGAAAGGGATATAGTAAACCGACTTCTTTGGATTTCGTGGTTGCTTAGACTCTCTATCGTCTTCGTTTTTGTTTTCTCACCTCTAGTAACAAATTGGCGGCTTTAACATCGTCTTTCTTAGCGGCGATGTGAAGCGCGGGCAGGCGCACGCGGCCCCGCGTGTCCGCCTCCAGCAGTACAGCCACCACCTTCTCGTGACCTTGCTGCATCGCCACCGCAAGTGGAGTGAACCCATCCTAATCACAACATTGGATTAAATACTGCTTTGTCTTCTTTGAGGCAAAAGAACTGGCTGAATGTAATGGTTACCATCTGTTTACAATACATTTAATGAAACGCTACTCATTTTTTTTAAAGAAAACAAAGGAATGGAATAAGGCTAAGGTTTTTGAGATCATAATCTCCGCTTTAAACTGTTTTATAAATCTCTGTTTTATCAAAGATAATGACAGTAGTAACCATGTTCTATACAGAGATTTTGGTCTCGGAAACCCACTACATCAGTTTCATATCCAAATGTTAGTATTATAATAATTACATATTTTTACCTCAGTAGCGAGACTCTGGTTTGCGCCATTTGCTAGTAAAAACTTGACGACGCCATCATGATTCTCTTGCGCGGCCATGTACAAAGGGGTGAAGCCATTCTGAGATTGGATGTTGACCTACAACAAGATATGGGTTAGTACTGCAACATGCATGCAGTAAGACAAAGAATGACTCGTTTTTATAAACCTTTGTGAGAAAACTTTGCACAAACACAATGTGTGCCTTACTAATATTAAAAATGCGAATGTTCGGATGGATGGATGTTTGTTGGAAGGTATTTAAATTTGGCACATATGTAGAACATATTCTGTAAGAACACATAGGCTACTAATATGTTTCTTTTTCAATTTCGCGTGGACGAAGTCGCGGGCGACAGCTAGTGTTAAATAAACTAGATAGGACAGTAAAAGGGACACAATAGACGCCCTACATTGCAAATACTATTAAATGAAGGTAGATTAAATTTAATTCTTGATAATAACGTAATTTTGAATAGTTGCCTATAAATGTTTGTGTTGACATGCGAAATACAACAAAAATATAATAACCAACTTAAAGGATAACGTAATTAAGTGCAAAATATAATTTATATATTAAATTAAAAACAAAACCGAAAGCTAATAATAAATTTTTGTCGCAAAATGTAATCAAGCAATCAACCATTTTGCAGTGCTCCAGGTGATTGACCCGGGGTCGGGCGATCGATGTAAATAATGATTCGCCGACATTTTTATTCTCGGAAGCGATTTGCTTTGCGCATAAAATTGATGGATCATTAAGTTGCTTCGATTTACGTTACTGGCCACTTTTTTATTTGCAGAACAAAATAAGAGTGTGTTTTTAAAATTTTAAAAACACATTTATTGTTCTTGAAAATATTTCTTATGAAATCATCTGTTGTTATACATAAATTGTGACTTAATTATATTGTTGGCAGTATATTTATAGATTATATACGACTACTATATTCGGAGCAAATGTAGAAAGCTTTCTTTGGCACGTATCATATAAAACACATTTTTGATTTGTCATAATGCAGAATATGACCAAACTGCCTTTTAATATCGTAAGCGTCATGGTAGTATGCTCATTAATTAGCTAATGAGCCTAAATATTACGAATAGATACGACGTCATAACAATTTAAGAGTACACATAAAGTTGATGTATTGGTACTGAATATTGGTATGAATGAAATAAATCCTAAGAAATTTCTTTCAACCATACTAAAAACTTAGTAAGGGTCTTACCTAGAAGAGACATATATGGGATATATTTTAGCTGTTCAAATCAACATAAATATTAAAGAAAACGCTTTAAAAATCATCCCTCATTGATGACGTCACATACCTGGGCACCATTCTGCACCAATAGCTTGACCACCGCCTCTTGTCCTGCCAAGGAAGCGATGTGCAGAGCGGTGTTTCCCTTCTTTGTCGCCGCGTCGATTGCAGCGCCACGCTGTAGCAACTCGCGGACAACTTCCACATGCCCGTCCTTTGAAGCTAGGTGAATTGCATTGAGGCCATTCTGTTAACAAAATTAAAACTTAAATATCTAACACAAAGCGAGAGATATAATTGGATAGATGTATGTTTTAATATTGCATCACGTTTTCTACCCAACGTTACATGAGCGAGAAGAACGTATTGAGAAAAGTAACAGATAGAAAAAGAGAGGTTACACATCTATCTTTTTCGTGAAAGAGAAACATACCTATCTCACTCTCTTTTGAATAATGTTGCCCGCGAATTTGTCAGCACAAATTAAAAAAGTACCCTAGATATGCGAACGTGTACCAATCCAGGTCCAGCTGTTTCGGAGATTAACCGGGTGAAAAGGTGGTCTTGCGGTCAGACATACATTTAAAAAATTAAATTCAATTATTATATTCAAGTACTCCACATATTTATATCTTGAAAAGTCTGCAAAGTTGATAAAAATACAGTATGTCCTTGATATTGATCAAAGGTCAGTAAAACAATAACCTCGTCTCGATTAACCTTTGTTGGTAATAAAAAGCTCGGCACGCACTACTAGGCTGAACAAATCACGCACAGTTATTCTGAAATATTTAACCTATAAAATCGCAATAAGAGTAGCCATATGTGGCCATTTATTACACGCAGTAGCAGAATGTTATCAAAAGTTCATAAACTGTCTAAAAAAAACATTGAAATTTTTATTTGAATCGTTTGCCGACAATTGTATATAGTTAGTCATATAAAATACCCAAATTCACAATCGTTCGGTGGCATACGACAATCGGGATAACAATATATTTATATTTTTAGGTGTATTCAGAAGCAATTTAATGTAATTTTAGTTTTTATTGCTCTATTAATTTTGAAATATAATCAAATCGTGCACGCGATATAGGATTGTAACGGCCTAGTAATAAAGGACATTTTAACGTGTATGAAAACTTTGAGTTCACTGAATGATGGCTTGCCACGCGACATCAGTCACGGCATACTGCAGCCATATCTGCAAAGTTGCGTATATTTACAACATGAAAAAAATATATAATTAAATAGTGTATATAATTTAAAAACGACGAAAATCTTTGAAAGATACATAAATCTTACTAATATTATAAATGCGAATGTTTAGATGGATGGATGTTTGTTTGTGGGTATCTCCAGAACGGCTGAACGGATCTCGATGAAATTTGGCATACATAAAGAACAAAGTTTGAAAGAAACCATTAGCTACTTATTAAGTTTTTTTTTAATTCCGCGCTGACGGAGTCGCGGGCAACAGCTAGTTATTTTTTAAAGTTTAATTGAATTAAAACAAATTTAACAAAAATAACATTTCTGGTTTCTAGTTTGCATTATAATTATATGTACATAGTAAAGTACATATCGACACATAAGTGTTCTTTACAGGCCCTTATTTATGAAGGGAAAAAAGCACGCGTCAAAATAGTGATGCACGCAACATTTTGTTTTGTAAATATATTTAATTTATATTCATGTTCTCTGCATAATTATTTAAATTTAGCCAACCGCAGTCTGCAATAAAAGTGTTGTAGAGTTGAAATAGTTCCTTTAAAGGCCTTTAGGCCTGTCGAAAAGAGTAAACTAAAAACAGGAATTTTGTATACAATAAATTTTATGAAATGAAAACGTCGCTATGAATGTCAACTGAAATTAATATATGACAGAATTTATTACAAGACGCTCAAATAGTGAAAGATAGAGTCCCAAATATGTGTATAGTGCATGTGTATGTTTTCATTTCTTTTTTAAGAGTTTTGTCAGTGTGTAGATTTAATGCAATTTTTAAGAATGTTGTTGCATTTTATTTAAATACACAAAAAAATTACTCAAACGTCGATGAAAGGCACAGCACTACCTCACTCACACAAACACACTCGCTCTATCCACACACACACACACACGCAACTACAAGTGATATTTTCAGTATATAAAGTACTACTAAACCCACCGCGTCGTAGTGCCTACTAAACAAACACGTAGACTTTATGTTAGGGGAGTTTGTTGTTAGGGTTGTCACATCTTTGGGTTTAACTTGAATTCGGTTTTGCGTGTATTTGACTTTGTGCTTGTGGTTTAAAACAAGTTCTGTATACCTTCCGGAAGCAATATTTTTTTTATTAGGGTACAGTTGTACAGAAAAATGATAAAGTTGGAAAGCGATGGAACATAAGAATAGACCTCCGGTACACTCGTCTGATGAAAGTTGGAATTATTTCTATTTGTAGTTGTACAGTTAAATCAAAGTTGGCAGCCCTTAGTACACTTGCTTGTTTATACAGCTCCCTATGGACCTTCACGTAATATCCGTTGCTACTTTCCGGTCTTGAGGCTACCCTCAGCTGAACAACTTACATTCCTCGAACTTTCAACCAATCCAATCTCGTTTGCGATAAATGTAAACGGATGAGAAGTTTCCATTATTTTTATCTGAATTCTTTTGTTATACAATTAATGTAATTCGTTATATTGAAGATTTTATGAATAAGAAAATCATAAAATAAATTTATGTCATGTTATATTTAAATGTTATTTGTTTAATGCAAATATATTTACAAATTATATCGTATTTAAACTGCTCTTGACGGTAAATACGTCCATATTTACAAAATAAAGATTTTTGTAGAAAAAAGAAAATATGAAAATGGTTATTTTATTCAAACTTATGCTGTAAAGGAAATTATATGTTAATAAGGAACGTCTTTGTATCTCTTAATAGTCATATCTGTTTATATTGAAGCATGAAATCGAGTACAAAAATCTTCTGTTACAAAAGCCTTGTTAAAAAAAAATACCAATAAAGGCGGTATGCATGTAAGTTTAAGTATGAGCATACTAATGTATCTATGGAAGCCATTTACTATATCATGAAATTTCAGGCAAAATTTGTCAAAAATAATGTCATGAAACATCGTCAAACGTTAAATTCATTAATTGGCCCGTCCCTTCATAATTTCTTAATCATGTCACCTTTCACGCAATCCATCCATCAATTCCTAGGCCCAATTTTTTGCTATTTATAATAAAAACGTTCAATAAATAGTAATCAACTTACAGCATTGCTAACGTTAATGTCGACTCCTTGCTCCAGAAGGCTGATGATCTTCTCTATTTGTCCGGCGCGCGCCGCACGCAGGAACGCCGTACTGGCGTCCGCCTGGCAACAAGAATATACTTGTAATATTTGCAACGAACTCAAATAGATACAGGAGCCTAAGCCTTAGACCACGTTGGCCTAGTACCCGTTGGTTAACTTCACACACATTTTTTAATTTCTTCGCAGATTTTTTTACAGGTTAGAATTAACAATAAAGTCACAAAAATACGTTTACAAGATCTCCTCGTTAGTCTTATGAATAATTTACATTATTTTAAAAACAAAAGTTTTCACTTGTTATTAATAAAAAAACCTGTTTAATTAATCCACACATTAAGTACATTTTGATAAGAAAATAAATGCAACACAAAAACAGGCGAAGAAATCCGCCATCTTTAACTTTGAACTATTAGTGCTGCCATCTGTTGTATAAAGGTATCGTTTAAACAGTTACATGATTTTTACGTGACAATCGTATATGAAAATCGATTTTCATGGTATTTACGCATTAAAGAACTTAAGTTAACGTTTAATATCGATTATTTTATTCGAATATTACTATATCAATAACAGTACATTTGACGTCTGGTAATAAAAGTATTAAACTTATTTTCCAAGTCTTATATCCACTTTATTGTTTGAAATAGAAACTTCCAAACCGCTTGCGGTGTGTTCGTGAAAGTATTATTTTTTTAATAACAAGCGAAAATTGTTGTCAAAATAATAAGTTTTCGCTAATTCGCTTTTACAAACTTTGCTTTTAAAAAATTGTGATTATATTTTACAATACAACGATGAGTTTGAATATCGTAATATTGTTTTTGAGTTTTTACTAGAGGCCATGGATCTTCTACTATGTAAAGGTATGTAACAGCTTTTATTGTTGATTTTCTTATTATTTATTCAGACAATATGTTTAATTAGATAAATGAACTACCATACAACGTAATAAAATTAGTGAACAATCAAATGTATACCTTAACTCAAGTGAACAAAGCTCATTATTCTCCTCTTGTAAACTATTACGTAAAGTACGATAGAAATTGTTTCTTTGAGCCTTTGTAAAGCCATTCGTTGCTATTGTAGCCTTCTCTGAGTGTTCCGTAGGGTAAGCGAGAAAACTCTTACACAATGTACCCTTAATTTGCTTCAACTTTGCAAAATCCATACTAATCTTATGAAAATACCCTGCAATTTTATTTTAACACCATAACTATTCAACCAGATTTTATATATACTTCTATACTAATATAATAAAGAGGAACAATTTATATTTTTGTATGTAACGAATAAACACGACTACTACAGGAACGGTTTCAAAAATTATTTTTTTATTAAAATGCAACCATATAGGCTAAATTTCTTACTATTTTTTAATTTAGCGCAGACCGAGTTGCGGCCAAAAGTCAGTGTAATATACAGACGTCAATTAAACTCGGAAATGTACGTCTCACTGAACTCAGTAAAGTAAAGTAAATTGAACAATAACATTAACTCTGAGTATTGTAGTTAGTCACGAAAACTCGTTTGCAGTATTTTTACTTTAAATCGAATATTAGAAACTGAAGATTACTAGTGCGTAGTACATACATATTCATACATAGTTAATTATTTCATTGGTCACTCGTCCAAGGACGATTAACCCAGGACGATTAACCCTTCTCGATAGATCAAGTGATACGCGAGAAAACGACCTATTTACTAACACTCCAGTTTTTTCACTTTATAAGCATTAAATAGACTGCAAACGTTTATATTTAGACGCTAGAAAAACCCAGCGTTTATTAGCTTTTTCTCGATTGACAGTAGACATCGTGTTTTTTTTTATAATTTACTAGCTGCCACCCGCGACTCTGTACGCGTGGAATTAAAAAACTAATTAGTTCCCTAGACCTTCACAAACATTTCAAGACCAAGATAAGATAAAACAACAATTGATTATTATATATAGATAAAATATTTATTAAAAAGTAAATAATATTCACTTGAATTTTTATATGGATTAAAGTCTTATAGCGAATATTAAATCGTATTCCAAATAACTGAAATAGCAGAACAGTCGGAGAATGAAATCGATATCATTAAAGCGCCAGACGGGTTACGTAAGCCTCAAGTTGAAGTTAAGCTTTATAGCTTTGCATTGTCTACGACACGAACGTGGTCTACGGTTCAGTCTACGGCGTAGCTACTAGCTACAGATTAAGTTAATTGATTCAGATTTCGTGTTCAGGTATATTCTTTGATAGGTCTAGAATACGAATATTTATGAAGTCTATTTCTTTATTAAATAAGAAACATTTATGAAATGATTTTATTACGTATCTAAACCCATTTATATGTTAAATTTCTTATCTCTCTTATATTATTATTCTCTTTATAATCTTTATCATAAATATTTTATATTTATACGTATAAGACAATTTTCTTTTACACATCTTAAGAGTTCATTGAATTTCCCCGACCCAGTTGTCAAGAGATGCTTCAATTTAAGTGGCCGATAGTAAAATCTGAGCTGAAGCATCTTACAAAGAGTGCAAGAAAACTGACGCGCCCTTCTAGCGATGGTCGTTTCAAGCCCTTGAGTTTATACAGTTGTTGCTAACTGGTTACCATTAAAAAATGTGTATTTAAGAAAAAATGTATTGGATCATAAAATGTTTTTACGTAGTTAAAATATCTTCTAAAACAAAGAGATAGAAACAATGGATATTATCGGTCCGTGTGAAATTGTTTTCATGGATAATCTATATCAAATCAAGATAATCTATATCTTATTAATATCTTACTTCTTATCTTACTAATATTTAAATACGAATGTTTGCATGGATGGATGTTTGTATGAAGGTATCTCCAGAACGGATGAACGGATCTCGATGAAATTTAGCATAAATATAGAACATAGTCTGGAAGAATACATAGGCTACTAATTATGTTTTTTAACACCGCGGGGACAGAGTCGCGGGCGACAGCTGTCTGTGAGTATGGACATGTGGAAATGAATGTAAGAAGTTTCATCGTAACCTGCACTTAAAAGGGTTTCGTTGCAAATATGTCAACTTAATACCTAGGTTACGTAGGATTGCGGTCAAGCGGTGCCCTGTATTTTTTTCCTTTTTTAATCTGTGTAATATGTTTTAATCGCATTTGCAAGTGTAACACGTCATTCTACCATTACTACCTTACATAATAAATAGGGCACTAGTATTAACATCTAGAGCCCTAACGACAGGACTAAATATAGGCAAACAACTAGCATAGTGTCTTTTTAAAGAGAGTTAAAGGTACTATCAGGGAATGTGATCGTATGTTACATTAGAATAGACTGTTTGAAACATACGTGTTGAGACAAAGACGCGGAAATAATTACAAACAGAATGCAATTTTTAAATGTCTTTATGAAAAAAGATCGGTCAGGGGAGCACGACTAATTACTTTTTTACTATTATGCCGTCGTTCGCGCAATTACTAGTGAATTGCCCGAACGATGGCATTTTTAGTAATTTTGTAAGAAAGGGCGTAGTTTGTTCCGTTGCAAGGAACAGGGCAAGTAAGTGGTACACCACGAAGGTCCCTGACTGTACTTATGACAAGTATTTATATTGCTTTGGTACTTGAAAACCACAGTTTTATATAGTAGGTCCGTTTTTTATGTGTATAAATTTATTCATATCCATCTGTGTGTCATCAAGGCATTGACAGAAAGAATTCACATAAAAATACACATAGACAGTATTTGAGACGTTCTTTAAAGCATACTTCAACATAATAAGGCGTCTAGTTCCGTCATTGTCACCAAGGTTGAACTTATGGCCACTTGTGAACATTTCAAAGGGCGTTCAAATGTAGGGTTCCGGGGAAACAATGAAAGTGTCCTCGTTAATACACGAAAGAGAGATTCGGTGAAGTGTATCCATAATGACACTTTAAAGTGATCGATAAATGAGTTGTAGGCGGTGCAAGGAAAATTTATTATTTGCTTTGTCGATAATAGATGGCGCTTGCAGCATTTTACATTGCACTATGATTTGGTCACCTTTATTAACGTCGATATTATGCAAATGCCACTATTTTTTTAATCAAATATTAGCAGATTTTTGTTAATTCGCTAATATTTCTTGTAACATTCCAACTAAGCTCTAGGCTTGTCCTAGGACATGGCTTACGACAGTAGTCGAATGACGGGATCCGAACCCCCGACATCGTGATCGGAAATCCTTACCCTTAACCGTTTGGCTATTGCTGCTTCTAATTTTTATTATATTATTATTACTAATTAACCCCGTTTTAATTTTAAAGCAGTTAGTAATATTTTGACCATAAATTTTTTTTAGATATTTTGCATAAGTTTTTAAAAAAATATATTTTCTGTCGTCAGATACGGTGTTATGAATTAGTTGCATGCTCACATAGTCGGTGCAGGGTACGCGGACAATTATTTCACGCCCCTCGCGAGGGGTGGACTTACCCTCAGTGACATTATACTCGTGGCAGTTAGTTGGGTGAATGTTTATGTGAGGGTAGTTTTGAATTCGGTGGTGATTTGTGAAAATGAGAAGAACCTTTGTAATAAAGAAAGTTACGATTCAATTAATGGAATTCTGTGCTGACATTATCATTTATTTTAATTTAGTATAGTGTACTGATGAAGACATCTGTGCGATTAAATGCCTTAAAGTGTTCTCGTATAGATTTAACAAACCAATCTCATTAGGTGTATTTTAAGATTTCTAGACCAAATTTAGCCACAAATAAGAAAGTATTTACTACTTAACTAAGATAAATTTATCATAGGCAAGGAAAACTTAATTCTCAAATTGGTATACAAAATTAGTGAAAGCAAGAATTAGTTTTTGTCAATTTTATAAAAAGCGACATCTCCGCAATCCCCCTTATAAAAATAAATGAGTCATATGTATATCTAGCAACATAAAAACGGTTATTTACGTATTGATGTTTTTCTTTTTATTTACGGTCATGGTAATAATAAATTGTATATTTTAGGGGACTACCCTCAGTTTAAATTCCTATACTGGCAATGATTCAGATTTTCTAATCTTATT